ATATTTTATTTACAACAATATTTTTATTAACTACGTATAACAATCATCCGTATAGGAAACCTTGACTTTTTATTAGACAGTTTTACAATGTGCATTATTATCGACAAAAAATTTTAGCGATAGGTTTGGTACGCAGTTCGCAGAGATGATATCACTGTGTGTGTTGGATTAGAAAATGGTCATAAAGTACTTTTAAAGGAAAGCATGTCACAAGAACCTGTTGCTAGTAATTAATTGATATCCGTTTGTTTAAAGTATGAATGGTAATATTGTATTTAAACTTCAAAATATACAAGTTGCATTCCAAAATAAACAGGACTATTACTTTGGCAAAACTCTTTATTTTATTCAAAATAGCGTCCTTGTTTGATCAACGCCATTTTAGTCACGAATTTAATTCAGGCACGAGCGAACTTGCGAGCGAGTGCTTAATTAAATGAGTGCCTAGAAAAGTTTATAAACGAGTTGCATACCTACTATACTTTTTCTACGACAAATACTTAATTTTATCTAATAAATGATTTAAATTAAATATTTGTATAAAGCGACATCTATATTAAATTTAATTATAAAATAATTTTAAAAGAACTAACATTAAATAACACAAAAATAAAAATAATTTAGATTAGCTGTTGAAAGTGGCCACCACCTGCAAGTATGCATGCTTCAGCTCTTCTCCTCATTGAGTTTCGTACCCTTAGAAAAATTCCTGGAGTATTTCTGATAGTGTCACAACAAACTATTGCGGTTTCTCAACTCCTCCTCAGTATTTATTGGGGTGCTGTAAACCAACGCCTTAAAATGTGCCCATAGGAAAAATCTAGACTGTTTAGGTCTGGCGATCTAGGTGGCCACGATTGTGTTCCTCCGCGCCCTATCCAGCGATTTCTATAATGTTGATTTAAAAATTCCCGTGCCTGGAGACTGAAATGGGGAGGTGCACCATCGTGCTTAAACCACATATGAAGCCGGGTAAAATGCTTTTTATTTTTTTCATCAAAAACAGTTAGTTGTTCGAAAAATGGCCAAGAAATCAAATTTGCCCTAAAATGAATGGGGATTTAAAAAATAATTTTTATTTTGAAAAATAGCAGTGGAATACATAATATTTTTCCAAAAATATCTAGACCACATCCTGTACGGACGCCACTGGTAAAAAAAATAAAAAATCTTCTACATCAAAAACTTACCGTTAATGCTTAGAATGCGTGTGCCAAATTTTATAAAAATATCTAGGAAGTTATTAAAGATATGATAAAAAACCGATTTTTTTCTTAAAACTTTAACACCCTGTAACTCAAAAATTAAGAGGTTTAGGTCATAGGTTTATTTGAACTTTTTTTCTTAAAATCAACTAAGGATTCACACCCTTAAGGTTCAGCATCTTATTCTGAAACACCCTGTATTATTATTATCAAATGCGTGCATATACAGGCTGTATATGCACGCATTTGGTTCTTCTTTAACGACCTCATCAAAAAGCAGCGCAATAGCTGGCCATACACAGACGTTATTGCGCGCGGTTTATCGTGTTATCTGCAAAAACATATGGAAAATCATGTACGTGAGTGAGTATCGCCGCGCGAAATGATAGAACGGGAAGGGATTTCAGACGTGCTTTTCTCTGGAGTGTGGCGTGTCCACACGCCACATTCCGCGTCACTGTTTACCTTTGCTTGGCAAAATTTCACGTTGAAAATTTGTACATGATCACATGCAGTTTCAAACGACTCGATAAATTACACTTTTTGCCCACTCACATACGATTTTTCCTTTGAAACTGATATACCACGGGCAATCACTTGCTAAATCATTTGAATACTTTATCAAGTGTATGGAACATGACGCTTTTTTTGCCATGCCGTTCTTTCGTGCATACTAACCGCTACATCCCAACACGCCACGATAAACCGCGTGAAATAACGCCTGTGTATGGCCAGCTTATGGCCAGCTAATGTGAACGAATTTATTGATAATTATTATTATAATTAATAATTGGTATTATGCAATGTACAGTTGTGAACAAAAGCATTGCTGTTTTACGTTAGATTAGTAGATTTTGTTTCTTGTAAAGCCTGATGTATAAATTGCCTTCCTTTTCCCCTCCCTTTTTCCCATAAAAGATTAACAATACGAAAACCGTAGTCCTGTTTATAAATTCCAGTAGATATCTTTTACAGTAAAGCTCTCATGTTAAACCAATCACAGTGCTTTATATGCGCTATAGGGCTATGGCGCGCAGATACAAAATATTTAATATAAATGATTGCTTCTTATTTAATATATAGAGAAAAACATACATTATACTATATAAAAAGTTAGAAATCCTTTAATATTTTGAAACATATTAAACGTAAAAAAATCCAAATTTTAATATTCTGTTATACCTTAAATTAGGTTCAAGCTGTTTAAACAGCTGCTTTAAAGTTTGCTAAATATAAACTACATAAAATAAATGAAAGTGCGCAATCAAAATGCAGTAGGTAATGAAAAGTTTTCGAAAATTTATACTTCCTTGCGCTACAGTGTACTAAAATAACAAACTGTAAAATTTGATGATCTTTTCGAGACTTCCTAGTCAAAAACAAGAAAACAATTAAATACAAATAGTTTTGCTTATTTTAAAACATCATATAAAATTTTTTTTAAAGTAAAAATGTGCACTTTTTTAATGTAATTTTCTTATAAATTTTAATTATTTATTAGCAATAATTAGCAAAACAATGGTAAGCAGTGATTGTGCTAAGCAGCAGAGCTGGGCACGAGTACTAAAAAAAGTATTTGTAAAATTTTAAGTACGAGTACTTAAAATATTTACTCGTAAGTATTTTACTCGTAAGTACATTCGTAAAGAGAGGTTACGGTTACGAGTAGTAATCGTGAAAACACGAGTAAAGAGTACGAGTACTTTAAAAAAATTGTAGTTAATGGAATTGATTATTCTTTATACATTATACATACTTTGGTCCTGAGCTATAAAACTACAAATACAAATTTATAAAATTATTTATTTTATACATTAGGTACAGGGTGATCCCCTATAATGTCGCACCCTTTAACTTTTTTATTTTAAGTTTCCCAAAAAATTTAATAGTGTGGTTATGTATAACTAAAAGAACACTTTTGTATATAAAACTTTTTTTTGTACCTATAGGTACTAAAAAATTATTTTTTTTAACTTAAAAGTTGAAAAATTGGTCAGTATACAGGAAAAAACAAAAATGGATCATATATAAATTATGCTAAGAATTTTACAACGAATCGAAAAATAAATTCATATATAGGGTGATCCATTAAGAAAAAATAAACTTTTTGTTTTTTCCTTTATACTGATCAATTTTCCATTTTTTTTATACCTAGGTACGTAGAAAAAAAAGTATTTTTGTACCTACATAACCACACTTGAAATAATTCGAACCAAAGTTATGATTGATGATATTTTGGCAAAATCGTTATAATCATGAAAATTTAAAAGATCATATCTACAAAAACAATTGACCAACCGTGCTAAAATTAAAATGAATTTTTATTTTAAGTCAGGGAACCCATGGAAAAATTGTCATGGAATTTCGAAATGGCAGGGGTTTTTTTCGTGTCGAATTCACGTGGAATTCCCCATATATATGGGAATTTTGTCTTGAAGATAAAATGTTGTTTGCCATGCGACTGAAAATTGTATTTTTGTGCTTCGCTCAATTGAGATTAGCACAAAAACTCAATTCTCAACCAATTGTTAAAGATAAAAACTAATTTTACTTGTACCTACAAGGTACAAGATATAATTGAAATGAATTGAATTGTAAACCGTTATAAACCTAATTGTGTCAAAATTGTTTTTTACAGTAATAATTATTAGAATGAGGCATCATAATAGTATATTATGTATCAAGTTTGATAAACGCCATTTTATACACGAATTTAATTTAGGCACGAGCGAGCTTGCGAGCGAGTGCTTAAATTAATGAGTGTATAGAAAAGTTTATAAACGAGGTGCATACTATACTTTTTCTACGACAAATACTTATTATTATCTTAAAATGATTTAAATCAATTATTTTTATCATCTATGAAACAATATTTGAATCTGTGTGTCACCGTCAAATGTCAAATTTTTTTATTTTATAAACACAATTATAAAGGTTATAAATCGAAATTTATTTCTTGAAAATTGACAGTTTTTCACAGTGAAAGTAAAGAAAATGTTTTATGAGCACTTTACAGTGGAGTCCGTGCCCGAATTTAAGTAATAGTTTACTGCCGGCGAAATTAAAAGGTCAGTACAATGTCCATATAAACTTTTCAAATATTGGCGTTGAGAAACTATTTAATACTTTTGTATTTTTGTATTGAGATAATAAAATAATTTTCACATTTAGTATTATTTTACAAGAAAGGCACTTTATTTTAACGATTATATGACATTTGACAACTGTCAACCAACTTAAAACTAACTTCAGTCCGTGACTAAAGCGCCATAAAGCCACAACTTGTCAATGTGTATTTAAAAGGTCACTTAGTGTCATGGAAACACGTACGATAAAGGGCGTTTTAAATGTGGGAGTAGAAAAAATATATTTATTTTATGCAAGTGATTTCTTACAATGTAATATTTCCACTCTCTTATTACTCAGAAAAGCAAACAAAATTGCATACAAATTAAATGCAATAAATAATTCTTAAATTACTCTTACGCGTATTTTTGGATTGCAAAAATAAAGGATTTTAAAATTCCTATATTCTATAATTAGCCGGGCAAATATGCCTAACCATGCTTTTAAATGCATAACTTCTTTAAAGGTATAAATAGACTGTTTGAGCCGAAGCCAACTAAAAAGTTACACATTGTTAATAAAAACAAGTATTTAACGCATACCCATTCCTGGTTAAGAGGAGTTATGCAATTTTAGCTAATACATAAAGTTTAAGCGGTATTTTTTTTTGAAAATTTGAAATTGTTTTAAAAGATACATATTTAATAAAGTATTTTTTTGTATTTTTAGATCCTTCAAAATTTGGGGAAAGTAGACAGAACTGCTGACGAGATATTCGATGAACACTTGCAAAATTTCACAAGACAGCAAAATGCAGCAAACAAAATTCAAAAGGAATTCACCAACTATATTAGGTGTATAAGAGGTTGGTATACTTAAATTGTTTAACCTTATATGTGTTTTAATTTACTGTACTGTAGGTACCTGTAGATACCTATAAGGAGCTGTAAACATACGTTTGTTTATTAAACTAAGTTTTGTTAAAAGGACAATTTATTTAAAAAATTAGTTTTAATGTTTTTGTTGCAAAAGTTGCTAACAAAACGTCAGTTTGACAAAAATTACAAATTTAGACGCAAAGCGCTGCTAGTGTCGGGGCAGCCCCTAGTTATCTGATGTTAGTAAATAAACTTGTCAATTCAATGACTAAGCCAAAAAGCAAAGGGCGCCGATTGTGGTGGCAATCTAGGTAGTCAGGTAGCCAGGTAGCCTATCGGTGTGACCTAACCTTAATCACTCACTCTCTCCCAAACTTTTACGACGTTATAGCACTTTGTGACTCAGTATTAAAATTGCCTAATTAACATATATTTTAAATTGTTTCAAACCTAAATTTTAATTTAAATAACTTAAAAATTAAGAAATTTACTTTTGGACATTTTTAAGAAAAATTATGATATTTTAAATTAACTAAATTAAACTTTTTAATATTATTTCTAAATTTTGTTTACTAAATTTAAAAAAAAACAGTTTTTAAAAAGGTTTTATCCTTTAAAACAATGCAGTTTGCATTAGGGTATTTCCATTGTAACGGGTGCGACACTAAAACAGCGTTTTTTCATGATAATAAAGTGTTTGTTCAGATATTTCAAGATACGTTAATATAAAAAAATAGTATAAAAAATTAGGTATTTATAGAAAACCTTTTATAACGGGCGCGACCTTAGAAAATCGGCAAATGCGACCAAGTGGCTTCTAAAGTTGATACTGTAAAATTTTGGATAAAAGCATGTAGTAATAATTTTTTGTGTAAAACTTGAATAGTAACCTTAAGCAAGCAACTATTTTAAAAGCACAAATATTGTATACTTTATTTTCTAAATTTTTCTCAAAATGTAACGGGTGCGACATTTGAACAATTTATCGAGTATTGAAACTCTTTCTTAGCGTCACAATGTACGAATATTTTTAGATTATAAATTACGTCGCAATTAAACTATTTGACTTCAGATATGAGTACGGTTTTTGCACATTTTGCCTACAGCATACCTAAGTAAACCAGATGCATAAGTTAATATTTTTAGAATAAAATACATTTAAAAACTTAACGTAGATGCAAAACTCGGTATTTGCTGTTGACCAATCACGTCCAGGGCTGGATGCTCCCGTGTACGAGTTTTGGTTCGTCCCGCGCATGACGTCACTTGATGAGTAGTAACTACTCATCAAGTGACGTCATGCGACTACTCAGTAGTTGCTGTGAGAATACAAGAATAATACTAATATTATCAAAGAAAATAGAGAAATATCTGGACATAGTGCATTTTTATTAATATAATATTAATATTAATAATTAATTAATATAATATAATAATATTGAAGAAAGTGTTATAATATGGATAATAAATGCTTTCAGTCCTTGATAACATTTAAGGCTATAGTTTAAGCGTTGGTGTTTTAAATTAAACTTATAGTCACTGTCCAGAAAATGTTTATAGGAAACAGAAGCGGTCTTAACTTTAATATTGTCTATTCTTTTTGTGGTATTTAAACACTCTTTCCACAAATCAAACTTTTTCGGGAATCGATTAAATTTAATGTTTTTATTTAAAGGGTTTTTCTTGGACTGGTTTTCCGAATTGCATGCAAATATGCCAAACCGCATTTTAATAAATGCAAATGGCACGACACAAACTAAAACACAAACAAAACAAGTTAACGCAACACAAAAACAATATTAAACAAACAGAACAGGTTAACACAACGCAATAACAATAATTTCAACACTGAAAAAAAAATAAAAATTCATTGCATTAATTTTATGTGTACACATAAAATTAATTGTATCATTTTTATTAGAATTAAAATTTGCGTAGACATAAAATTAATTATGGCACGCCGTTTTACTTTTTAATTGTATAAGAAATATTAAGTTAAATATTAATGTGTCACAAAAATATTGCAGACAGAAAAATTACATTAAATAAATAATTCAACATCTTATATAAACATATTTAAAAAAAGAATAACTTCTTTGACATGTATAATTCTAATTAATGTATTATTTTGAAGGTATTATTTTTCAGTGCAATTTATTTTTAAAGTATTAATATTTAACTTAATATTTCTTATCCGATTAAAAAGTGAAACGGCGTGCCATAGGTTTTTCATGTTTTTTTCTTAAAATCGCTTATCCTGCAAATACAGAGTTTTGCATCTAATGTACTCATATAGTTGTTATTTTGTTAAATAACACATCTGATTTTTTGTCAAGGTGGGGTAATGTTTTGTGGAAATACCCATTGTTATTAACATATTAACAGTGCTGCTAATACTCTTGAGAAACCCTCTCTTAACAATGTTGGCATTCTCTTTTTAGCTGCTCAAGTAGCGTCAAAAACTCTATTGGACGCGATAGGAGAGACGTACGAGAGCCAGTGGACTGGACACGATTTACTTTACGTACAAACACAATCAGTAGACAACTTATGGCAGGATTTTAGCAACAAATTAGCGGACCAAGTCCTTCTTCCATTAAACACATACCAAGGCCAATTCCCAGAAATGAGGGTAAGAAATAAACTAATTTAACAATTAGTATACTATAGATTCCAAATTTTTTTTATAGAAAACTATTTAGGGACCATGTTCTACCAAAAAAAAAATTAAACTTTGTCATGTGAATTGTAAGATTTGTAAACGAAATTTTTTTTGTCAAAATATTATTCTTTAGATATAGTAGCCCTCCAGTTTGTACAAAATTATTCTGTAATTAAAATAGTGTTTGGTTAAAAAATATATGTATGTACTATGCTCCACACCTCAAAGTCCCACCACGTGACCACGTACGGAACGCAGTCTTTTGAAAATTTGGCATTTAAGGCTTTTCAGGTTATGTATCTGTCAATGAAAGAAATAATATTTATAGTGTTACCGCTTATGTTTAAGCGTTAAAAGTTAATAAATCTTTATAGTATCACAATAACAATGGTTGGTTTAAGAATTTAGGAATATAAATACTGCATTTAATGAAATTCCAAAGTGTAAGGTGCAATATAAAATGAAACTTACTGCTGAATGATTGATTTTTTTTATTCAATGATTGTATTCTTTCGTTTATTGTTTGACGTGGAGTTTATAGTTTTCATTCATTTTACCTAACAGATGCTAAAACGGGATTAAAACAAAATTCAAACGAACCAAAAATGTCACATGTCAAAATTACCTTAACTTATACGCATGCTTAATTTGACACTAATTTTGCTGCATAAAATACCCACCTTTTAAGAATTGGCTCAATGCTAACTTAATGTTAATTTGTGCTGCATAAATCCAGCAATAAATTTCTCACATTTTAAACTTTAATAACAACAATCAATGTTTCTGGCAAATATCGTTTTGCAAATGGTTTATTTTTCATGACATATTCTCATATTGAAAAACCAATTACATATGAAGGGGTAAGAAGCAAAAGGGTAGGTACAAGTGCATTTTATCATGAAAATACGTGCAGAATTGATTGGTTTAGTCCAATTTTTTTTAAAATGTTCTTATAACGTAAAAATTGTACTAGTTCTGCATGTTGATTAATGCAAACAACAATATTGAAGTATCCAGATTTTTGTATATAGCAAAAACTTTAAAAATTAATAACTCCGCTTCTCTTTTTTGCACTTGTACCCTTTTGCTTCTCACCCCTTCATATATATATATTAAATAACTAGGTTAACTTTATACATTAATATTTTAGAAAAAAATCGACAAAAGGGGCAGGAAACTCGTGGACTACGACAGTCAGAGGCACAGCTTCCAGGGTTTGCAAACCAACATGAAGAAACGGGACGACGTCAAGATTGGCAGGGGACGCGAACAGCTGGAGGAAGCCAAAAGGACATACGAAATGCTTAATTCGGAACTTCACGACGAACTTCCCGCCTTGTACGATTCCAGAATATTATTTTTAGTTACTAATCTACAATCGCTCTTCAATGCCGAGCACGTCTTCCACACGGAATGTTCTAAGGTAAGATTTTAATGAAAAGTTTAGCTATTTTTTGTATTTCTTAACTAATATTTTTTATTACATTGTTTTAAACATTTTTACCATTTTTTTACCCTTATTTTAGAATTCTACGTTTTTTTTACTTTTAATAGTTATGTTTTTGTAAATATGTCTTTATTTTTTTAATAGTAATTTGGGGTCACTCTTAGATTTTTTTCCCTGTTTTTTTCTAAATCCAATTCAGTTTATTAAACAATTTTCAGTAGTACATAATATTTATGCTTGTTTACTTGTTTTACATTATAATATTATAAATAATTAATGATTAAAATTTAATAATTCACAAAATTATTTATAATATTGCAAATACATGTGAGGCCTGTCATAGCAAAACCTCCACTTTTGGTCAAAATTAGATTTTTGGCGGAGACTGTACTTCAACTAATTATCTATAAGATGATAAAGTTTATGTGCTGCAAAAGGAGCTAAATTCTGCCTAAAATCCTATTTTAAAAATGACATTTAGTGCAAAGTCGACAATCTCCACTGATAGATTTGCAGCAAAGTATACAATCTCCAATTCCACCATTAGAAATTAGTAATTTTTGTCACCTGATATCCTAACATTTGATGTTATAACGTATTTTAGAGATTTAATTTTGTGTTTTTTTTACTGGTACATACTGTTAAGTTCTATTGCACTTAAAAATATATTTAAAATAGGCATATATACGTTTTATTGTTTTAAGAATTATAAAAAAAGTTATTTTGTTTATTTTGTGCTATTATACCATAATAAGACGTAAAGGTAAAGCAAGAAAAGGCTGATAATGTCAAAACATTGCAAGTAAAACATTACGGGGCAAAATGGGAAGAAGATGATGAGTTGTTGTACTATAAAAACTTTTTTGTACGAGGCAACCTGGTCCCAGATTTAGAAGAAACTCCAGATTTATGTGGTCCAGTTCAGAATTTTCCCACATTGATTTTATAGTTAAATTTTATAACCATTAAAGGAAAAAAATACAATTATTTTTTTGTTTATTTTTCTAAATCTCCTTAAACGTTTACAACAAAATGAGCAATCTCCAGCAATTCATATAAAAGTCAGCAATCTCCAATTTATAATTATAGATTTCACCTATACTATGCATCATGGAGACCTTGTAGTATGCTACTAGACTAACAACAACAATATTTCAATATAATATATAAAAAAAATTACAAATCAAACAAGAGTTGTGTAAGCCTAAGTCTTGATTTAAAAAGCTTAATGCGGTATTGTCTAGATCTTATGAAATCAAAATCAAATAATATATTATGTAAGATAACTAATAATTTTACTTACACTAATAATTATACATACCTATATCACAATTATTCAGGTACATAAAATATATCACAGTTTACAGCCTAGAAACTGCGAATAGGCCTGCTATTGGTTATATTTATAAATAAAACTAATAATAATAAAAGAACTTATAAAATCGGGCAAAAATGTCTGTTTTATAAAATAAAAACTACTGTGAACTAGCAATATTTCAAAAACTAACGATTTTTAACTAATTTTACTACATATTACTAGCCTACCAGTCCTTCAAAGGATATCGTTGATTTTTGGGCCACCTTGTATATAATTTTTCTCAATTTGTTTACCTAAAAATTGTTGCAGCCGACAAATTTTCAAAAAAGTCGGCATTTTAATATAAATCACCCTCATAATTGTAACCTTGGTGACGCCCCTGTATGCATGGCATGCTACAAAAACGTTTATTATTAGCCTGTACCTGGCTACACCCTTGATCATAACTATACTTGAAACTTAAAGGAACTTTAATTTGACACCCTGGGCTATTAATTGTTTATTTGATGCTATGTTTAATTTTAATTTAATTGGCGTTGAAAGGTTAAATTTTAAACTATTTAATTTTGAATATAGGTTTTCGAAGAATTAGAAGCAATCGTCGACAAATTGGCAACGGACAGTCAAAGAGGGTCTTATAGTATTAAGAAAACGAATGGTGCTAGTCTTCCTCGTCCGACCAGTCTTAAAAATTCGTCTCCACTTATTGTAAACAACACGTCGACACTCAACTCGGCCAGAGGTATGCATTATGGTTTTTATTAACTTGTTGTTTTTAATTTAATGTTGTTATTTCGACTAACTTATTTTTTTTAATTAATCAGCATTATAACAAACCTAAAAACATAACTGGTAGATTAAGGGAACATTAAATTAATATTGTACAGAAATATTGCTTAATTTTGGGAGGGAATAATATTTTAATAACAAAACGAGATATTTTTGAGTTTTGATTTTTCACAAAACTCATTTCTGCATAACAGCATTCAAATGTTTGCCTGGCAAAACTAAACTACTTGTTGGATAAAATGTTTGTACTCCGTATATGCGTCCTTCTTCTTTTTCTTCCTTGGTGACCAAAAGCCTTAATAATCTCAGTTTCAATGACCATTTTTACCAGAAAAGTTCTACGTCCATGCGCTTTACGAAGCCTTCCACCCATAGACACGTGAATTTTCCAATCTTGGAACATCCACTAAATATTTCGTACAAATCACAAAATACCTCGCTAAAAGCACAGCTTGCGATATTGTCCAAAAATACAGGTATATTTCTAAACCCAGAATCCAATTTTGTGCCTACTACCCAAGCAACACAAAATCGTCTAATAGACGTTTAATATTTGTCTATACCAATGGTATATCATTGGTTTATTGTCTACCTCTAATATAGGTTAAAATGTCCGCCTAATATAGGTTGATGCATATTATAGCAATATCCATATTTTAAACGTCTACACTATACGTTTATTTATAATACAAACTTGACAATTAAATATCTGTTTTTTATAAAGGTTACATTTTAATATATAATATACCAAAATTAAATGTTTATCAAAAACTTCTAAAAGCCATAAACGATATACGTTAATATTGAATATTATTTTAAGGCCTAAACAATAATGTTATAACATTATTGTTTAGGCCGCGGCTCTGCTAATCTGGAAAAAGAAAATAAAAACAAAAGTTTTTATATTTGAATGATTTTTTAATATTTTTAGCTCCATTTTCATTAAATTAAAATCGTAAAACCATGCATGGTTTTACGGTTATCAATGCATTGATAATTAAAATTACAGTAAAATTTACTAGGTATATTTATTCTTTGCATTTAATTTAAGTGCGGCATATTCTTTCCAGATTTGCAAAAACTTACCTAAGTGTAGTAGAAACTCCAAGGTAAAAAAAAAGTTTAAAAAGAAACTGAGCAGATGACAAACGAATATATTTTCATAAATAATTATTTATTATTTTAAAATAACTAATTAAACAAATGTTAAGTTTTAACATCATTGAATCATTGCTTTGATAATTTGAGCCAATCTTGACAGGCTTGTCCTATGGCTTTGTCAGTTATTTCCCTGGACTTGATCTTTTCCTTGAAAGGACAGTTTCACTGCCTCTGTAAAACAGTAAAAAACAATGTTACTAAAAAGTGCGACTGTTTACGTATATTTTAAATAACTTTTAACTTTTTATTCTGTGGTAAAATAAAAATATAATAAATAATAAAAAAACACAATTCGTGTTTTTAAGTGTTTATAATGTACGTTTATAAATAGTATACCATAAACCAATAATAGATCTTTAAAAAAAATAAAAAATATTGATTATTTTAAAAATTCTGAAGTGATGTTAACCTAATCAAAAAATAAACCATCTAATTTAATGCAAAACGAATATGTCGCATGGTTAAAACTTCTGCAAAGGTTACGGATTTTTGCCGGCTTCGTCAAATAAAAACACCAATTATTAGTTATTTGGTGCAAATTAAGTAATCTGAAATTTCAATTAAAGTAGGTATACTTACTTTATTAGCTGTATTCCCACCAAACAATACAATAAATTAATCGCTATCCACTCACAGTAAACAGTAAACATAACTTATACGGCAGCCATTATCAACACAGGACACATGTGACCGGTAACGGCAAAACGAAGCGTCTAGAAGGAATAATCACGTGACACGCGCCTATTGGTTTAAACAATCGTCTTAGGTACGAGTAATACCGAAACAGTGCGAACCATGAACATATGTATACAAGTATTATGAAGGACGTAGATTTCTCGTATTTTTAGACGTAGATTTCTCGTATTTTTAGACGTTGAGCTTACATAAAAGTATATATATAAAAAAAAAACGTTTACAAAACACTTGAATGTAAACAAATTTGATAAGGGTAAATAATTCCAAATTCTTATTTATATATAAACATGCTTTATAGTTGTTTTTATAATATATATATAGATTGGGTGATTAATATAAATTTATATATTAAATTGATAATTTTATGATTTTAAAATAGTATATCAAGTACGTAGAATATACGACTGAAATATGTACGTTTATAAAAAACGCTTAATATATGTTAAATAATTATACCAAAACCAAAAATATACGATTAAATGGTTTATTATACGTTTATTAAACGATTATGCAAATGAGTGTGTTGCTTGGGTACATTAGTCATGTGAAGAAGCGAGAAAGCTTGTACTATTTTGTCTTATTTTTTGAAAATATTATACTTAGTTACCTACTTCTATTGCATAATATTGTTTTTTTTGTAAATAAATATTATAAATTCCCTGCCTAAGAACGGAAATAATTAACTCATTATTTACGTTGTTAGGCATCAGTGATTGGCCGATTTCAATATTCACTGTGATTTGAACAAATCGGGTTTTAAATTGGGAGAAGCGACTATAATTATAATTATTTTTGTAAATCATTTAATTATCTACTTATTGGAGCAGATAAAGTATATTATTGCACTCGAGATTATGCGTGTAATAAATAATATATTATATATATATATATATTATAATGTATTATTTTTAGCTTTAGTTTTAAACTGACAGATAGACAACCTCAATTATTTGTATTTAAATTTTGGGCCGGATACCGGATAGTTACCAGATATCTGTTTCATCTCTAAATTTTAGTTTTCCTTAACTTTATAAATTCATGTTTTGCAAGATAATCAGAAAAATATAACCAATATTTTTTGGAATATTTTAATAATATTCAGTGATATTTGATTTCAGTAAAAAGTAGTGCAGTATAACATTTTATAAAATACCTACATATAATATTTTATATAAAAAAAATGTTATTCAAGCAATTAATAAAAAAGGTACTTGAAAAATTACAACTTTGGTGATATGTTAAACAAATATTAGAAAGGTTCCCCAACACCAGAACAAAACATAAAGTGCTTAAAGTACTTTTCGCCAACGATGTTGGCATCTTTAGAGGCGAAGTGTAACTAAATGTAACTGCTAAATCTACCATATTTATACTAATTGAATAATCAGTCCAAAAATTTAATTTTGACAAGTCATTTTCTAAATTCAAATTTAAAGTTCAAAATATTTGTTTAATAAAATAGGATTTTTTAACTTAATTCAAATTATTAAAAAATAACAAATTGTAGATACCAGTTATGTTTTTAGTGAAACCTTTTTACTTGCATTTTAGGCAGAGCGTTGATGTTGTGTTAAATTTGAGTGTGTTTTTTAGCGGAAGACCTTTCACAATCCCCGACTAAAAACGACTATTCTCCAATAAACGAGAAACCGGCCTCCACTCCGAACTCCAACTCTAACAATTCAAACAACTCCAACTCAATTTCCAACTCCAACGACAAAGATACCGCCTCACCACCCTCCTCCCCCACTAAAAACGACTCGACCCCCCCGGCTCCCGAAAGCACCCCCCCTCCCGTCGAAAAGCTTAACGGCACGAGCACGCCCGACGGAAAAAGCCCCTCTCCCGAACCGGAACCCGAATCCCAGGCGAAAGCCAAATCTAAACCCGACAGCCCAGAGCCCACCAAAGCTACTAACAACGTCGACACTGACACCGACGATAAAAAAATCGAGGAACTGTACGATATTCCAGTGGGTGAGTAATACACATTTCCTTATTTGCTTTTTATTGTAATAAATGTGAAATAATCAAAAATTATTTTATATGGCTACTTCAATGTTATATTATATTAAACGCCATATTCAGATAAATTTATTGCATATTAATTGTATTACAATTTTAATGCTTAATTACTGTTGTATAAGTATTGAGTTTTAATTAATTTCTAAATCATAACATACACTGCCCGTCAAAATTAACGCATAATAAGTAAAAAAAATAACTCTAAAACGCCTTTACCAATTTTTATAAAATTTTGGATAAAAATACTTATATCTCAGTTTACGTGTTCAAGAGTTTTTTGAAAAAATATCGTTAAAGCCCTTTGATTTAATATTAAAAAAAACTTTTATAGGGAATTTTTAAGTAAATAAAAAATATGCTGTTAAAGGCCGTATTTTTGTTAGTATACCCTGAAAATTTTGTACAAATCAAACGAACAGTAAAGAAGATACAGCGCTTCAAAGTCGGTAAAAATGACCACTTTTCAACATAATCATCAAAAAGGGGTCATTTTTACCGACTTTGAAGCGCTGTATCTTCTTTACTGTTCGTTTGATTTGTACAAAATTTTCAGGGTATACTAACAAAAATACGGTCTTTAACAGCATATTTTTTATTTACTTAAAATTCCCTAGAAAAGTTTTTTTTCGAGCGTTTTTTTTTTAATATTAAATAAAAGGACTTTTTTTCGAAAAACCCTCGAACACGTAAACTGAGATATAACCCAAGCAACACAAAATCGTCTAATAGACGTTTAATATTTGTCTATACCAATGGTATATCATTGGTTTATTGTCTACCTCTAATATAGGTTAAAATGTCCGCCTAATATAGGTTGATGCATATTATAGTAATATCCATATTTTAAACGTCTACACTATACGTTTATTTATAATACAAACTTGACAATTAAATATCTGTTTTTTATAAAGGTTACATTTTAATATATAATATACCAAAATTAAACGTTTATCAAAAACTTCTAAAAGCCATAAACGATATACGTTAATATTGAATATTATTTTAAGGTGAAATTTTTTACATAACATTATTGTTTAGGCCGCGGCTCTGCTAATCTGGAAAAAGAAAATAAAAACAAAAGTTTTTACATTTGAATGATTTTTTAATATTTTTAGCTCTAATAATTCCATTTTCATTAAATTAAAATCGTAAAACCATGCATGGTTTTACGGTTATCAATGCATTGATAATTAAAATTACAGTAAAATTTACTATATTTATTCTTTGCATTTAATTTAAGTGAGGCATATTCTTTCCAGATTTGCAAAAACTTACCTAAGTGTAGTAGTAACTCCAAGGTAAAAAAAAAGTTTAAAAAGAAACTGCTCATGAGCAGATGACAAACGAATATATTTTCATAAATAATTATTTATTATTTTAAAATAACTAATTAAACAAATGTTAAGTTTTAACATCATTGAATCATTGCTTTGATAATTTGAGCCAATCTTGACAGGCTTGTCCTATGGCTTTGTCAGTTATTTCCCTGGACTTGATCTTTTCCTTGAAAGGACAGTTTCACTGCCTCTGTAAAACAGTAAAAAACAATGTTACTAAAAAGTACGACTGTTTACATATATTTTAAATAACTTTTAACTTTTTATTCTGTGGTAAAATAAAAATATAATAAATAAGTGGTTATAATGTACGTTTATAAATAGTATACCATAAACCAATAATAGATCTTTAAAAAAATAAAAAATATTGATTATTTTAAAAATTCTAAAGTGATGTTAACCTAATCCAAAAATAAACCATCTAATTTAATGCAAAACGAATATGTCGCATGGTTAAAACTTCTGCAAAGGTTACGGATTTTTGCCGGCTTCGTCAAATAAAACCACCAATTACCTATTAGTTATTTGGTGCAAATTAAGTAATCTGAAATTTCAATTAAAGTAGGTATATACTTACTTTATTAGCTGTATTCCCACCAAACAATACAATAAATTAATCGCTATCCACTCACAGTAAACAGTAAACATAACTTATACGGCAGCCATTATCAACACAGGACACATGTGACCGGTAACGGCAAAACGAAGCGTCTAGAAGGAATGATCACGTGACACGCGCCTATTGGTTTAAACAATCGTCTTAGTTACGAGTAATACCGAAACAGTGCGAACCATGAACATATGTATACAAGTATTATGAAAACTGAAGTTCAGTTACTGAACCACGTAGAAAATTATTGGTACCTATAAGTAACGTTTATTTTTAGGAAAACGATAGACAACTTTATTTTTATTTAGCTACAAAATCAAATATCCAGCTAATATATGACATAAACATTGTTTCTATCGCTAACAAATTTGTTAGCGGTGATAAATACATTTAAATATTACTTGGCTTACAACAACAACAAAATTTATAGACGTAGATTTCTCGTATTTTTAGACGTTGAGCTTACATAAAAATATATATATATAAAAAAAACGTTTACAAAACACTTGAATGTAAACAAATTTGATAAGGGTAAATAATTCCAATTTCATAAACATGCTTTATAGTTGTTTTTATAATATATATATAGATTGGGTGATTAATATAAATTTATATATTAAATTGATAATTTTATGATTTTAAAATAGTATATCAAGTACGTAGAATATACGACTGAAATATGTACGTTTATAAAAAACGCTTAATATATGTTAAATAATTATACCAAAACCAAAAATATACGATTAAATGGTTTATTATACGTTTATTAAACGATTATGCAAATGAGTGTGTTGCTTGGGAAGTTAAAGTATTCTTATACAAAATTTCATAAAGATTGGTGAAGTCGTTTTAGAGTTAGAATTTTTATACTTATTATGCGTTAATTTTGACGCGCAGAGTACTTTTTATTGGTTTAATGTACTATGCTCCACACATCAAAGTCCCACCACTTGACTTGACTTGATAGAAAAAATTAAGTTTCAAGTCAACTTTGTTTTATTTTTGAAAAATTAGACTAATTTAGCTTGACACTGACAGAAAATTAACCTTAATTATATCAGTTATGTATGTACATGTGGTGGGACTTTTACGGAATAAAATTAGCAATTTTTTGTCGTAAAAGGATCTTTTTTTAAAAAGGTCGTAAAAGGACCTTTTTTAAAAAGGTTCTAAATAGTTTACACCCTAGCTGCAAAAAATAGATCAAACATTGTTGATGTCACAGGCTGTAACAAAAGTTTTTTTTAATTTTAAAAAAGAACAAATGCAATTATAATTTCACAGAAATATTTAAAATTGCAAAATATATAATATCTACATATTATGTCGTCGGGATGTCAAAACTAGGTAGCTTTAATTTTGAGGTAGGTATCTAGTTTGAAATCAAGTAGAGAGCAAGTAGAATTAAAAGCTAGAACTAGGGAAGGTGGAAACTCCACATTACTTTTACTAGTTCCCTAGTACTTGCATTCTATTTTACTTGCTCTCTACTTATTTTTAAACTAGATAACTCAAAGTCGACAAAATTCGAGTTAATTAATTTTGACGTTCAGGCGACGATGTATTATATATTAAACACTGTGAAAAATGTCATTTAGGTAGTGACAAATACAAGGTGGCGCAAAAGTCACCATCCAACATTCTAAGGCTATAACTTTTTTGTAAATAAAAAAATCGGTTGTGTTTGTGAATAATGTTTATTAGGACATTTAAATTGCTCCTGTTAAGTCGCCAGAGTTGATGCTCATTTGGGCGCGCTTTAAAGCGTCACTTTTCATTGCCATTTCTTCTTCAATGTTTTCTGTTAGAGCTTCCAAGGTCTGGGGCTTGTTTACCTAAAGGCGAAACTTCAAATCCATATAAAGAAGTTTGGAGTAGTTAAATCAGGCGAGCAACAATTGACATTCTTCTCGCGTTATTTCCCGGTTGCTTAATTTTTCGTTTTGGTTTTTTGCAGACTGCTTCAGACTTTATTCTTTAAGGTTATTTGAAGTCTCGCTTTTGTATAACAAGCCTTGGCAAAAAAGAACATTAAGGAAGAAAGGACAAATTCATCGCCTGAAGTATTAAGGTGATTAAACATGCTCCAAAACGCGCCCAAAAAGTTACAAAAAAAGTTTATATACAAAAGTGCTCTTTTAGTTCCACCCTTACTTCTTAAGAAGTCCCATAAGCCAACTGAATGGCTTGTGCGGGTTAGGGGTAGGAACGGACCGCGGGCTTAAAGTCCCCTCCGAAGGACTATTACACAATAGGACAAACACAAATAAACAGCCATACCCCTGGTGGGATTCGAACCCACGACCTCCGGCTTGTAGTCAGTAGCACTAACCACTCGTCCACCGTCGGCGTGCATTAATCATGGCGGCGGCCACTTGAACTATACTGCGCGTCAAAATTAACGCATAATAAGTAAAAAAATTCTAACTCTAAAATGCCTTTACCAATCTTTCACGGTGCTGTTCTGAGAGGTGATTTTTTTTTATATTCTTGTTAATTAGGTCATAACTAAAATTTTAAGAGCAAAATAAAAAAAATTTGACGGTTTGAATTGTTTTAATTGGCTGTTTATTAAAAATATTATGCACTCTTTCAATTATCCAATTAAAACTAGCGATTTAATTTAAATATTTAATATTTGCATAACTAAAAAAAGGTTTTTACAATTTTTTTTTTATATATTTTACTGTTTTGTTGCAATAAACGTTCAAACTTTTAATCTAACCTTTGACGTATACATTTATGTTCCCTTAATTAATATATCCTTAAAGTTTGCCATGAAACTTAGATCTATTAAAAATTTATTTGGTGTTTGAATTGTCATTTTCAGTATACGTATTCTATAATTTTTGTTTAGTTTTTTAAAGTGTTTTTTATAAACAAAAATGAAAAATTGTAGTAAAAGTTACGAAGAAATTCATGAAATTTAACCGGTCTTTAGTAAAGTTTATCGGGCCGATAACTTTCATGTCTTGGCAATATCTAGTATACAAAGAAATTATTCGTCAAATAAATCAAAAATGAATAAATCGGCCCTAAATAAAATGTGGCACCCTTAGAATTATTGTTTAATAAATGTATACTATACATTTAACCTTAAATTAAAACTTTAAACGTGTATTACAACAAAACAGTAAAAGATTTAAAAAATGTATATACCTTTTTTTAGGAAATTAACTAATCTTTAAACTGATTTAAAAAGTTATGATAATATTTAAATAAAATCGCAAGTTTTAATTGGAGAATTGAAAGTGTGCATACATATTTTTAATAAACATCCAATTAAAACAAAATTAACCGTCAAATTTTTTTTATTTTGCTCTTAAAATTTTAGTTATGACCTAATTAACAAGAATATAAAAAAAAATTAGGTTTCACAGAAAGTCCAAAAATCACCTCTCAGAACAGAACTGTGCTTTATAAAATTTTGGATAAAAATACGTTAACATATATCTCAGTTTTCGTGTTCAAGGGTTTTTCGAAAAATATCCTTAAAGCCCTTTTATTTAATAATAAAAAACGCTCGAAAAAAACTTTTATAGGGATTTTTTTTATGTAAATAAAAAATATGCTGTTATTATGCGTTAATTTTGACGCGCATTTTATATTATTTTCTTGACTTAACCTCAATCCATGTGTGGATTGTGGACTTAACAAAAAAATATTTAAAGGCCAAACCAAACATTATTCACTAACAGAACCGATATTTTTCATTTACAGAAAAATTATAGCCTTGGGAAATTGGGGTGATGAGCTTGTATATTAAAAATTGATAAAAATAATATAAAACAGTTTGATTAAAGTTTTTATTTCATTATAACATAATTAGGTTATTATGTTATTTTTGAATTGTTTATACTTTTAAACATTGAAGTGCCAATATATAGTTATTTCGCTAACTAAAGTACCTAACCATAGATTAAAAAAATAATAATACTATTTTATTAGAAACATTATTACCATTAAAAACTTGATCCATTTTCATAATTTTTCAGGAGCTAGTACTGAAAACTTGCCAGCAGGCGTGTTGTACAGAGTAAAGGCTACTTACAAATACAACAGGGAAGATGTCGATGAGTTGTCATTTGAAGTTGGAGAAGTTATCAACGTTATTGAATATGATGACCCAGAAGAACAAGTAAGATTTTTATAAAACAATAGATGTTTTGTTAAAAAAAATCTTTTTTCAACAATTTTATTTTTAAAAAGTTGGTAATACTGGTTTTTATTAAATGGTTAAATTTAATTTAATTTAAGTGTAAAAATATTATGTATAAAACAACCAACAATCTACAAATAGCTGATATTTTGCTGATAGTCTCGATTTAATGTAATAATATTATTATATTATAACAATAATCCATAAATACACATAAAATACATTATTAATTTTATTTAAAGATAAAATTTCTTTTTAGATTTTTTTACAACTATTAGGTACTTATTTGTGAATTTAAATACACAATAATCCATAAATACACATAAAATACATTATTAATTTTATTTAAAGATAAAATTTCTTTTTAGATTTTTTTTACAACTATTAGTTATTTGTGAATTTAAATACACTCACGAAAGAAAAATGACATAGAAATGATTTCAATTTGACGTCACCATGATTTTCCTAAAATCAATTTGACTGAACGCTGATGTACTAAGGACGTTTAATTATAACTAATATGGTCTATTTTAATTTAATAATAAATACAACTTTATTACCAGTATTAATAAATTTATTTGTCTTACATTTTATAGTTAGCAAAACAGTTGTGTTAACTGATCTTTATTAATTTTTATTTCTTAGTACTTCTTCCATTCCATAATACAATCTTTCTAATTTTATTATTATTAATGATCACATATCCATTTTATTAAACTTAATAATTTAAATATATTTTTGTGCAACAAATTTTTATTTTATGGGTTGTTTTTAAAAAGTCCGAATTATGTTTCATCCTGACCTAAAAATTGACCAAGATATATAAAATAAAAGTGTGTATAAAATTTTAGCGAAATCGTATAACATTGCACACGTGTTTCAGAACATTTTAAATTTTTAATGGGAAATAGGTTTTTTTTACAAGTACGTAAAAAAATGATTTTAGGATTATATGATGGTGTGATAGCATTGATATAGCATTTAAATCATTTTGTGACGTCAAATGAACATCACTCTATGTCAGTATTATGTCGGAATGATATCATATAATTTAACATCATATATTAGTCACTATTATGTCAAATTTAAGTAAATTCAGTGGGTAGTCGGCATTTTTTTAAGTTTTATTACTGCCGATTAATGCCGAGTCGGCATTATAAGGATTGTGGTCTCTCTGCTGGAAAGTAATTGGGAATAATTGAATGATCTTTTTGTAGTTTTTTTTTATTGAAAAAATAAATACTAAATATCACAGTGATAATAATAACGGATAACATAACAATATAAAATGTCGACAATAAATATATTGTTCTATAAGTAAATAATATTAACATAAATGAAATAAATAGATATTTAAATACATAAAGTTTTTTAAGATAATTTAGGTAGTGTCTCTTTGGCTTAGAATTAAAGTTTTTAATCTGGTTTTAAACAAAGTTTGAGATAGGTTTTTTATATTCACTGGTAGTTTATTGTATAGTTTGTATCCTTGATGTTTTATGTTCATTTCTCCATATTTTGTGTTAGCTCTTTCTATGTCTAATTGTTCTCCTCCTCTTGTGTTGTGTTCATGTGTGTTTGCTCTTTTTCTATATGACACCAAACAATACATAGACAATTTGCAGTAACTTTCATGAAACTCGGCTTTTTTCTTCTTTAATTTTTAAGTCTCAAACATAATATTTTGATGCTGCTTAAGTAAATTGGAATGTCAGTGAAATTTTTCAGCCAGAAAAGTAAATAATGAAGACTTGAAGCGAAATTCAAATTGTTATCGTCATGTTTGATCATTTTGTAATATTTCGTTTTTCATTTTATTTTTTGAAGAAAATTGAATGCTCTACAAAAAAGGTTTGAGTGGAATTTCCCGTCAGATGAACCGTTTTCTTACAATCATGCCTTAAAAATTGGTATAGTTTTACAATTTGATCTTTTAACTTTGGAATTTTGTAATTCAAGTAAAAATCAGTACCCTGAAAAAAAACGATAAATATTCTTATGGGAAATCAAATGCTCCACAAAAAAAGTCTTTTATCATTTTTGGCTAAATTCACTCTATCAAAAGTTATTCAAGGTTAAATTTGAAGTCAAAACGAAATTTTAACCTTGAATAACTTTTGATTTGGTGAATTTAGCCAAAAATGTTAAGAGGCTTTTTTTGTAAAGCATTTGATTTCCCATAAGAATATTTATCGGTTTTTTATGGGTACTGATTTTTACCTGAATTACAAAATTCCAATTTAAAAGATCAAAATGTAAAACTGTACCAATTTTTAAGGCATGATTTTAAGGAAACGGTTCATCTGACGGAAAATTTCACTTTAACCTTTTTTGTGGATCATTTAATTTTCTTCTTAAGTCAATTTTGTTAAACTCAATGGTTCTAAGCCTAAAACTTGCTGAGGAAAAAAAAATTAAAATTGCGATGATAGACCTCTTAATATTAAAATTATGGACTCAAACTTTCACAATATTTTTTTTTGTCACCCCAAACCATATTTTCGATATACTTATCAAAAAAAAAATAGTTGATTTTTTTGGCCCAGTGACTGGGCCCCAGTCTAATGTATAAGGTGTCTGAAATGCCTGTAGAAAATGATACCACATATTCCCCAACATCAAAATATAGGGATATAACTAAATTTTCTTTTATACCAAAGTTGATAATAACATAAATACAAGGTGTCAAAGTTGAAAGTTCGTTTTTGATTTTATTAAATAACTTTGTAAAATAAACAATTTTGGGGGTTTTCAGGCCAAAAATTTCAATTTATTGAAAAAAATAATGTATGTTGTAGAGGGTGCTGTCTGCGACACAATGGTTACATCTTTTTTGCGCCTTAGTGTATTCACGTTTTAACAAAAATATTAGTTTTTAAATATATACAAATTATGGCAGTCAGCGCCCTCTATCCAATTTTGTGCAAAAACGCTTGTTTTTTTTCAAAGTTATGCAATTAATCTAGAGGTATTCTTTTAGATTTTAAGATTCAAAAGTGGGCATTTTAATGAAAATCACCCCCCCATAATCGAAAAATAATACTAATAGGTTTCTTTGTTTACCATTTCATACTTTTTTAAAAACTTTTAATATAAAAAATAAATTTATTGTTTTTCTTTTTTTAGGAGGAAGGTTGGTTGATGGGAGCCAAAGAAAACGGAGAAAAGGGCATGTTCCCAGCCAATTTTACAAGGCCACTGTAAGGTACAATGTTGAAGAAATTGTGGGACAAATCAATCACAACACTGAAATATACTTATTGATGTTTCATGTAAGATCAAAAAAGTGCCTTATATTTTTATAGTTTTTTATGTTTGATTTTTATTTAACAACGAATAATTATACTGTTAATTTATTTTTTAAGTTATTTAATTGTTATCTCGTTGAGAATCTCAGAGATATATATATATATATTGAAATACTCAAAAACTTTTACAAATGCATTTTCTTCCAGTTTTTTTATTTTCAAATTTATTTTTAAGTGTAACCACTTGTTAACAAATCTAGGAGAGTATTTTACTTTTATTATTTTATTGCATTTTATGTTATTTATGCACTATTGAACATTTTTAAGTTAATTAGTAAATTAAGATCAAAAATGTTGCTCAAATTTTATAGACGTTTATATACAATCTTAATGGACCAACCTTATCTAGTCACAATTCAAATCTAATTTTCCTTTTTTTAATCTTCTGACCTTTTTTATATAGATTTTAAACAAATATTTTTTGGAAATGTTCATATTAGTGCCCTAATTATATATTGTTATTAGCTCTTGCTTGTTCATGTAGGATTTTCATAGAATGTATTCTCAAGCAATGATCAATCAATTGTATTGAATTTTTTATAAAAATTTGAATATGGGACATGGTACATTCTAAGGATTTTATACATTCTGCGCGAACGAGTCTCCTCAGATAGAATAACAGAAATTTATTTTGTTTAATATTGAATTGAATTTAAAAAAAAACATTGACTTTCTTATTATTGCTGTTGTTGTATCTGATGACCAATAAGTTTGTATTTGCTATTCTGGCGAAGGAATGTTATTATGTATTAGATATTCTTGTGCGATAGACATAACTTATTTTTATTCCTTTAATTATGTTGTAATATTTTATTAACTTATTAAGTAGTGTATGTTTGAATTACCTTAAATATAAAGGAAGTATTACACAACATTGTTTTATTTTTGCCCTGTAGGAAGCCCTAAATTCTTCTATCTACACATTATTTTTTAATTCATATTGATGTAGTTTGTTTTTATTGTTTAATTAACCATTGCTAACTGAAATAAACATTTTCCGAGAATGCTCATATATTCAATTCCTGTAAAATTGTCTACTGAATCCGAATATCTCGTCAAAAGGACAGTTTTTAAGATTTATTCAATTTTCCATATATTGTGGAAAAAACTGCTATGACGGTCTTTTCGGATTCAGGGGACAATTTTACATGAGTATTGCAGTTGAATAACCTATTATAGGTTACCTATACCTATAGGTAAATTATTTGATGTGTTAAATTTTTATATCTTAATATTTTTAAGTTTTTATTAATAAATTTACTATTAGATTTATTAGGAACCCTATGTATATGATTTAAGACAATTTTTTTTTCAAATTTATTGTACGAAATGTAGGTAAGTTTTCAACTCTTGAAATATCAACGCTCGGACACGTAAACATAATTTTTGGTCGTAGATTCCAAATCCGAGCTCGATTTAGCTGTATCAGGTCTAAAAAAGTTTATCCTATGGGAAATCTGATCCGGGGACACACTATATACTGGTAATTTGTAAAATAATATATTTTACCTCTTGTGCCAACATTCCTATGCTTTTTATTTTAATTAATGAGATATCCTCAATTAAACTCAATAATTTTTTTTTAAAGATTTATTGACTTTCAGAAAAAAAATTGAATTTCCTAAATTATCTATAAAAAACCCTCAGGGATACGTGTTCCGGAACACGTATCCCTGAGGGTTTTTTATAGATAATTTAGGAAATTCAAGGCCTTTTGATCAACTAACTTTTTTTTTAATTTGGAACTGATGTGTGGGTCCAGCCAAATTAATTTTTTTTAAATTTATAAAGGATGTTTAAATTTATACATGGTGTTTCCAATAACTTTGAATTTTGACCTGATACAGCTAAACCAAGCATGGATTTGTAATCTATGACAAAAAATTAAGTTTACGGGTCCAAGCGTTTAGCTGTGATATTTTCACCCTACAGTGTAATTATTTCTAATTTGCTATTAATATAACCTATGATAATAACACGCAAAGCAGACTCAGTATGCGGCGCAGAGCACAGAACAATATGCCCAGACTGCGCCGCAGACAACGCATAGCGGAAAGGTGTGGGCAGAAACAATTCGTATGAGTTCACGGCCTATTTGGAACACGAGGGTATTCAGAAAAGTTTTAATTTAATAAATCGAAGTATACACAATTAAATAATAATACTATTTATTTTTTTATTTAATTAATTTCATGCCCCAATTTTTTAACATGTGGGTAATGTTTTTTGCTTACGCATGTCGAATCCAATCGGGGGCCCCCTCTAGCCGGGGGCCCCGTATCACTGATACGGCTGATACCGCGGTAGCTATAGCGTATACGCTCCTGCACAGCAGGTAAATTAAACTAAGAAGACGCAAGTAAAACGAAAAGCGCGAATGAAACCAGAGGTTTGCGGACGAAACAGGACCGAAATGGACATGCCGACAATCACGTATAAAACCGAACGCCGGTGAAAGCAGAGGTTTGCAATTAAAAGCAATTGCTTTTAATTGCAAACCTCTGCTTTTAATCCGAAAACGTTAACGTTTTCGGATTAAAACAGATGTTTGCTGAAAGATTCTGCGAGTTTTCGTCAAATGGGAATTTTCCCATCTCTAATATTCTTTAATCTTTATCATATGGTACAAATATGAATTTCTAAATTAAAATAAAGTGAAATTTTTGTACAGTATAAACTTTTTTTAAAAATTTTATTTAAACTGGATTTTAGTGGTAGCTTTATAATATTTTTAAACTTTTGCCAAGTGATTTTTTTAACTCTTTATTTTCAAATCAAAATCAATAAATTTAAGAATTATTATTGTACATTGTATAAATAAAAAGGCGCGTGGTTATGAGCCTCCCGCCGGGGAGATGCGTGGTAGCAGCGCTCCCGATGGTCTTATACACGGCTTCTTTGAATATATTAAAGCTCCATGTCTATAGCCATGGAGCTGATGCAGTACTGACCTTTTCTCGCAAAACGAATGTGAGGCCTTGAGGGAAGAAAATAAAAAAATCCCTCTTTATATTCAAAACAATGGTTTTAGCGCATATTTAATAACATTGGTAATTTTACTTTGACTTTATATATTTTGAAATAAATAACTCAATTGGATAACTTTTATCGAAAAGGAACCGCGCCAAAAACTTTTTGTGGGGTAAACAAAATAATTTGCAAAATAACTAATTTTTAATGCTGCTCAAATAATTAATGATTTGGGAACCCTCTAATATTCTTTAATCTTAATCTTATGAGAAAAGTTCCAAATGATTATCAACCTTTTGAGCATTATTAAAAATGAGTTATTTTACAAATTTACCCAGCTCAGAAAAAATGTTTGGCGCTTGGTTCCTTTTTGATAATCGTTATCCAAATATGAAAAATCGATTTCTTTCCTTACATGATATTTGCTAAAAGTAAAGCAAAATTGTTTAATAATGGTATTTATAGCATATTCATTAATAATGACCAGAGAATTTAGTTTATTACATTGTTTTTTAAATAAACTTTGCTTTAGGTCTTCAGGTTAATGTAAGTGGTAGGTAGGTAAATAAAATATTGTTTTTTTCAGAAAAAAATTCTATACTTTGACAAGAAATGATTTACAAATGTACTATTGCAACAACCATTCATTACAGTCAATCGATCTCTTGCATACCCACATAAAACCAAGCAGCTATTATATAGTTTTTTAAAAATTGCCATTAGTATAGGGGTCAAAACAAGTGAAACTGTTCACCTAAAAAAGTTTTTAAGGATTTAAAAAAAAGTATTTATTGAGAATTTCATTTTGAAAAATAATGAGTAATCTTGATTTTGTATGCAGATTTTGTTAATAATAAATAAATGCATAAATAAAAAGCACATAAAAAGTTTGCTTTTTTTATAAATATATAACTACAAATAAATAAATGGTTTTTATTAATTTCTTAAAGTACCTAAATGTTTTATTTGATAATTAAGTTATAGAATCTATAATATAGATACCTATAATAGATAGCATTATTAATTTTATTGTAAACTATGAAATTAAATTAAAACATTTACAAAAACTTTTTTGCGAGTTAAAATTCCGCGGGCAAAATTTGTTTTAATTCTCTCGATTTTGATAAATATCGCTCTATATAACCATAGTGATTTTAAGTGAATATTAAGTTAAGTTTGTTGATTGTGGTAGAATAGTATAAGTATATATAAAGGAGAGAATTTAATTCAATGATAACAGTAAATCTAGCTCCAAATATAATCCTCATCAGGTATAAAAACTGTAAAACAATACCTATAGGTATGATAATTTTTAAAGTGGACTGGATAAACCAAAACTTGGCGTTACGAAAGATGAAACGGAAACGATGCCTGCGTCGTATATTCGAACAAAATTCGCACAGTAGTTTAAAATTTAAAAAAAAATTGGAAAAAATGTCACAATTTCTGATGTTATAATGAAAATTATATTTATAAATCAATTAAATAAAATTGTAATTACTAAAACAATATTACCTAAAGAATATAACATACATAATAAGTAATTAAATGAAAACAAAACACGAATTTAATTACTTTGTCCAAAAAAAGTTTGTAATTTGTATATTTTTATCTAAAAGTTCAATAAAAATAAGTAACATATTTGTTTAAAAAAAGCATTCAAATATCTCTATTACTTTTCAAAATATAAATAAGTAAATAATAATAAAATGTGTAAATTTTGTCATCGCAATTGTTTGTAAAATATATGGAAATTTAATAAAATTTTTACCTGAGAAACATTTACTTTGAAAACCTATAAAAAAACTTCTGTAGGTGTCCTGTTTGACTTGTTTTGACCCATAGTTATTTAAACTGAACAATATGCAAAGAAAGCTCACTAACAGTTTAAATTCCAGTTAATCGCTTTCTGAATACGCCCCTCTTTATTGCAAACATCCCTTAGACACGAGCAGTCTTATATTACAGAAAATTACATGTGGCCATCGGAACAGTCAACATGTCTGCTGACTGGCTGCCATGGCAATGGCAAACATCATATACAAAAGATGATTGTGATACATCATACATAAAAATAATAAAAGCCTAGGTAGTAGTGAATATTTGTGTCTGTTGCGATGACATGCTTCAAGACTGCAGCATTCAGAAGATCTTGCAAATCCAGGGAGAAAATTTTAGTCTTACTTGCTATCTCTACATTAATTTAATATATTATATATAACAATACTATTTATATAATGAATTAGAGTCACTTTAAAAAAACACTTTGGCTTTAATCATCCATCAAAGACCATTTCTATATTAAATGGCACTAAATAATCCATTTGCAGCCACTAAGCTAAGCGCACACTTGGACACAAATAAATTTAATCGACAGTTAATTATAATAGTAACATCACAATTAGTCCATTTTTTGTTTGTTTGTTGTATTTTATATCCCAGGCTCTCCTCCTTTAAAATGCAATACATACAACCAATCTTGTACAAACTCTTTACAACACATTTTCTTCTTAATGCTTGCCATCAACTTGTTGTGTATTTATTTACGGTTATGGTTGTCTTTGTAGTTTGTTTGTGTGGTACAAAAGTAGGTAGATTATCAATGTGGGCTTCAAGCATCTTCTAAACCAAATTATACTCCCGCAAATTCGACTGCAATATTGTATCTTTTACGGCCGCAAACACAAACTTTATGTTTTCCGTATCTGAAATTTTCAAACAACATTACTATTAAGCCTTTTTATCGTCCACTAAAATAGGTGTTAAACCATATCAAATACTTTAAACAGTCAGTCTATTATACAAGTTATACTTTTTTTCAGTAATTCGTAATTCTTATCAATTAATACATCAGGGTTCTTAGTTACAATACAAAAGTACTTGGTTACAATAATACGCAATGTCAAAAGAACATATACGGGCTCGTGAATAATAAGGGTTAATACTATAATATGTTATGGTATTCTATACCAAATGAACGAAGGGTTTCACAAAACTACTTAAATGACAATGATTTTCCCTAAAACATCGATTTTCGATATACCAAAAATTTAGTTTTCGGGACGGAAAAAATAGACATTTTCGTACAAATAAAATTTTCTTCGTTCACAAACCAGCTATTTATTGTACCTAATTAGGAATAGCATTTCAACATTTCAGATTGATCGGTAACTGGTTTTCGAGAAACGTTGGTAACCGAAACGGAACTTTAAAAAAAAATACGATTTCGAGATAATCGCGTTTTTTGTAGAGCGTTAAATTTCCTACAAAATTATGTCATACTCATTTGACAATCATTGTTTTTCAATAAGTTACAAAATTATTCAAACTTTGATATTTGAAATGGTTAGAGTAATCACTTAAACACATCAAGCATTCAAATCCTGCAAAAATATGTATAAACATTAGCCAAAAAAAGTATATCAAAAGTATTGTTTGGGGTGACAAAAAAAATTGTGGTGAAAGTTTGAGTTCATAATATTAATATTAAGAGGTCTAACATCGCAATTTTAGATTTTTTATTCCTGAGCGAGTTTTTGTCTCAGAACTCCCAAATCATTAAGTTTAACAAAATTGACTGATATTTTTTAAAGAAAATTGAATGCTCTACAAAAAAGGTTTGATTGGAATTTCCCTTCAGATGAACCGTTTTTTTACAATCATGCCTTAAAAATTGGTATAGTTTTACAATTTGATCTTTTAACTTTGTAATTTTCATGTAAAAAATCAGTACCCTGAAAAAAAACAATAAATATTCTTATGGGAAATCAAATGCTTTACAAAAAAAGTCTTTTATCATTTTTGGCTAAATTCACTCCATCAAAAGTTATTCATATATTATATCACGAGAACTATGAATTTAATCGGTTAAACTAAGCTCAGTAGTTTTTTATTTGGTTTTTGTTGGAAAATGTTGAATGCAAAATAATTTAATAAAATCACGAGACCGCGTGGTCAAGGGGTTTTATTTTTAATTATTTTGCATGAAACTATTTTCCAAAAAGAAAAATCAAATAAAAAACTTACTGAGCATAGTTTGACAGATTAAATTTATAGGTTGAGTGATATACGTCTAGATTATTTCTCGAATTAAAGGAAACTATTTGACAATTCATAAAATCTGACGTATGTGTCAAAATTTATAAATATTTTTTTAAAGAAAATTCCATTAATTTAAGGTATGTAATAAGTAATAATTGATATTTCGTAAACTAGATAACTTATTTTTTATTGTTTTTTAAAAAATGTTTGTTAAAACTTGTAAATAACACCATAAAATCGTAAACAAAAATCCAATATGGAGGCTAAAATTTAATCGCTGTTAAATAGTTCTAGTGATTTAATCGCTTATTTAAACGAAATTTATTCGAAAATTCAAGGCTTTTGATTGGTTCATATTATAATGAGGGAAATAATCAAGGTTAAATTTGTAGTCAAAACGAAATTTTAACCTTGAATAACTTTTGATTTAGTGAATTTAGCCAAAAATGTTGAGAGGCTTTTTTTGTAAAGCATTTGATTTCCCATAAGAATATTTATCGGTTTTTTATGGGTACTGATTTTTACATGAATTACAAATTTCCAATTTAAAAGATCAAAATGTAAAACTATACCAATTTTTAAGGCATGATTTTAAGGAAACGGTTCATCTGACAGAAAATTATTTGTAGAGCATTTAATTTTCTTAAAAAAATATTTTCGAGTCAATTTTGTTAAACTCAATGGTTTGGGAGTTATGAGACAAAAACTTGCTGAGGAAAAAAAATTAAATTGCGATGATAGACCTCTTAATGTTAATATTACGGACCCAAACTTTAACAATAATTTTTTTGTCGCCCCAAACCATATTTTCGATATACTTTAAAAAAAAAAAATAGTTGCTTTTTTTGGCCCAGTCTAATAAACATTTGATTAAACGATTGATTAATAATGAAATATGGTCTTTTTTATAATGGACTAAAGAAACAATGGAAAACTGTGATGAGGAGGATCTCATAAATATTAAGAGCTCAAATTTGGTGAGCACTTTCTAGAGGTGTCTAAGAACCAATTTTTCAGTGTCGGAAGTAAAAAAAAATATTCGATGTTTTTTAATCACCCTAATATATAATATAAGATATTAGACAGTGTGTCCCTAAATAGACTGAAAAAGAGGAAAAACTTTTTTAACTTTTCAAAAAATGTTATTTGTCATAAAAGTTTTTGTTTGTTTCAAAACTAATAATTCAAACCGAGATTCAAACAGAAGTTGATATCATTGTTTGTCAATTATTAATGACACACATTCTTTCTTATGAGAACTGTTGTTACAGTATTCCCTATGTAGATAAAATATTTATCCCCCTATATAATATATTATTTTCTTATTACTCCTGTTTTTGTTTTGATAAGAAACACACTGTGATAAGAAATATCTACTTTTTTCCCGCTACCATGACGACGCTACATTGTGAGCACATCTGATCTACTTTGAATGTAAACATCAGATTTAAATAATTGAATGGGCAAGTGGATGACGGGGTTAAGTAACATTTTTAATAATATAGGACAGAAAATATTATAATTGCAATACCATAGCTATTTCACGGTGCTGTTCTGAGAGGTGATTTTTGGACTTTCTGTGAAACCTAATTTTTTTTTATATTCTTGTTAATTAGGTCATAACTAAAATTTTAAGAGCAAAATAAAAAAAATTTGACGGTTAATTTTGTTTTAATTGGATGTTTATTAAAAATATGTATGCACACTTTCAATTCTCCAATTAAAACTTGCGATTCTGAGAGAACAAAAATTATAGGATACGTATACTGAAAATGACAATTCAAACGTCAAATAAATTTTTAATAGATCTAAGTTTCATGGCAACCTTTAAAGATATATTAATTAAGGGAACATAGATGTATACGTCAAAGTTAGATTAAAAGTTTAAACGTTTATTGCAACAAAACAGTAAAATATATATAAAAAATTGTAAAAACCGTTTTTTTAGTTATGCAAATATTAAATATTTAAATTAAATCGCTAGTTTTAATTGGATAATTGAAAGAGTGCATAATATTTTTAATAAACAGCCAATTAAAACAATTCAAACCGTCAGTTTTTTTTTTATTTTGCTCTTAAATTCTTAGTTATGACCTAATTAACAAGAATATATAAAAAAATTAGGTTTCACAGAAAGTTCAAAAATCACCTCTCAGAACAGCACCGTGATTTGTGTATTAAGAGCGCAAAAAAAACGCTCGCTCCTCGGAAAAGGGAACTTTGCGCTTTCTTTTGGAAGCGCAAATTTGTACTTTTCGCTTGGTTGTAGAAAAAATTTATTTTATTTACAATAACAATATTGTCTGTTCTTTTTTAAATTGAATGTCACATAACTAGAAATGTAAAAAAACGTTTTTTTTTTCAATTTTAAAATTAAAATTAGAATTTTAAAATTAAAATTAGCATCACTCGCCAAAATAGTAGAGTTTTTCTCGCGTGGAATTACTTCCTCAAAGAATTCCTTTCCTCGCCGATCGTTTATCATCGGGATTAATTGCTAAGATTCCACGCTCGGTAAACAATTTACTATTTCTCATAAACCGTAGGATTAAATATACATTGAAAGTGGGTACCTAAAATTGTTATTTTAAAACCCAACAGGAAAAATTAAAAATGGTATTTTAAATATTTAGCTTTTCAAACTAAAAACATAGTTCTTAGTTATGAAAGTTAATATAAAGAAGATTTTTTGGGTAAATAAAATTTCTTGATAAAATTTTAAAAACCTTGATTTACAAAGGAATAAAAATTCGATAGAAAACAATTGCTTGAATAATAACTTTGACTGATTATGTAGTCAAACCTCTTAACAAAATGATTGTTATAAAAACTTGTAAATATTGTGGAAAATTTACAAAAAAGATTACAAGTTATAAAAATTTAAGTTATAGAGGTCCGACTCTCAGATGTTTTAATATTTAACCTATTTTAATGGACTTTTCTTACAATTAAACATATTATAAAAACATCAATATAAACATATTAATATTCTTATAAACAATCCTAAAACTAAAATGCATCATGCTCTTGTATGAAAATTATAAGTGTATTAGTATGGACAAATGAAACGTTAGTAGTTACACATTACCTGACATCTATGCTAAATTAAACTCTTTTAGTGCCGATTGCATGATTGTATCTTTAACAGCACAAAACACAAGTTTAATATTTTCAGTATCTGTTCAAGTCAAATTAAAGAAAAAAGTATCATATCCATTCCATGGGATTGCATGCAAAACAAACAAACATATTAAGGATTGTATTTAAAAAAGGACAACAGAGGGGTGGATGAAGTGGTCAAAAGCGAAAAAGCCCTTTTAAAGTAACATGCGTTTTTTTTTGGTACCTGTAGCACAAGTAAAGTGTGAGTATATGATTTTTTCACTGTCCGGATTTAGGTCTACAAACATCCTGAGGATAAATTCCCTAGCTGCAATCGCATCTCGTTGAGCACCTAAATAAAATTACGTTAGCGATACACAAACTACAACTAAATAGCTCAATAATAATTAACTATCAAACTGCACTATAATGTTTTACTTTTTATTATTAATGGCCTAAATACTTTCAATATTTAATGAAAACTACAATTTTTACTGTTTGGTGATATCTTAATATTTATAGAAGATTGCCTAATTGTTTATAAAAATTAAAAGCCACAATTCTAAGTAAAAAGTTGGGGTAAAACTTCATTATTTTAAATTTTTCTTTGACAAATAATTTGCTTTAAATACTTATAGGTATACTGTATAAGGAAAATTTGCAAAATATATTAAATAATATATATACCGCATTTTCATTTGAAATATATAAACTCGATGAACCCGATCGCCCCTCCCCATTGTAAGCGGATTGCTGTAGGCGACGATTCAGTCATATTTTGCATTTTAGTTTTTAAAGAGAATTTTTTATGCTTAAACGTTTTTTATAAGAAAACACTTTTAGTTAAATGCAAAACAAATAATGATTTTACACGTTTATTAATAATTTACTGTTAAAAGTAATTACGTTACATTTTAAGTATCTGAATCATTTTTAAAAGTAAATTAACTTAATAATGCGTAATTCGTATTAATAATTCTAGAGATGGGAAAATTCCCATTTGACGAAATTTCCCGGAAACTTTCCATCGAAAATTCCCGAAATTTTCCGAAAGATTCAAAAAAAAAATTTTTATTGCGAAAATATTTTTTTTATGCCAGGGATTTGCAAAAATATATAACACATTAACTTTTTGTCAAATTTTATTAAGAAAAAAAATAAAAAAAATGTAACTGCAATACTATTTTTAGTATCTTTTAGTTTGGAATATTCCTATCCTATACTGAAACCTACAAAATAAAAATAAAATGTTTACTATTAGAAATTCACTGCTAGTAAATCCTAGATATTACGTAAAAAATTAAAATGGACAAAGTAACTAATATATAGGAATATTGAAAAGTAAAAGATACTAAAAATAGTATTGCAGTTCTGACTGATAAAATTTTTGTTTTTTTGCACTATTTTGTAATAATTCCAAACACTAGATTTTTCTCTTGGCATTGTGCTATGCCTATAAATAAACAACAAAAATGTAAGAATGATTTTAACTTTGTTTATTGTTTTTATTTTGTTTACCTTTTTTTAAAAGTTTTTTGTGATGATGCTGAATAATCCGGCTTCATTGAGGTTATGTAACATAACTTACATTATTTATACTTCTTCTTCTGCTTTAAATTAATACACATTAAATTCTTATTCAAAGTTTCTTGGCCTTAACGAAAATCAGCGGTTAAACAATTGACATTTAAATGAAAAAACAAGGAAAGTTTCCAAGGAATGTTTCCAAGGAATGTTTCCGGTAGCTTAAAAGAAACTTTCAAAATGAAAATAAATTCCCAATTGGAAACTTTCCAAAACGGAAAGTTTCCTTAAAATGGAAACTTTCCGATTCCCATCTCTAAATAATTCAGAGCAAACTTCGACTATAACCCATCGCCGGTAAAGGGTCTACTACTGAATTACAAAACACGTATCTCGGGCCGAGAGTCTCGGCGTCTCCCACTCTTAAAAACGGAATGCGGAAAAATGAAAATACGGTATAATATAATATTAAGTCAATATATAGTAGGTTTTTGTAAAGAACTTTTACTTTTAAGTTTGCAATCGACCGATATAGAAATTTTAGCCAATTCCAATAATTCAAAGACCGATATACAGTTATATCAGCGCATATACAGGGTGACTCCGATTTTAATCTGTAAAATTTAGTAGTCGATAGAAATAAGAAGAAAAGTTTTTCGATGTAAGTAAAGGGTAGTAAAGATATCTTAATATTTATTAAAAAAATATTTTATCAAAAACACCTTGGCTGAATGAAATAAAACTTCTTGGGTTTTTAGTAGTGGGCAAAGGGCTTCATTTAATGTAATTTTTTGGATTAAGCAATTAAAAATATAACTGATGTATTTTTTGTCTATCTTGTTTAAATTTCAAGACAAAAATTAAAGTCTTGCTCACCCCTGGAAAAATTATGGTCACAAGCAGATAAAGGAATTTAATTTTTTTCTTAAAATAACCAAGATAGAGAAAAAATGCAAGAAACTACAGAGTTGTATTTTTAATTGCTTAATCTAAATATGAGTGACAATCATTTTTTTATTAATTAAAACAAACGTTTAAACCACACAAATTCATATAAATTTTTCTTCTTATTTTTGCGAGTTCCATTGACTATTAAATTTTCCCGATTAATGTCTTAGATATTGGTCAATCCCACCCTATCAATATTGGTCAATCCCCCCAAAAAACCCTATTTAGTACAAAATGCTAGTCTGATACAATTTTAAATAAAATGCAATCAGTTGATGATATTTAGAGCATAATAATGTTATAGCAAGTTTACATAAAATTAATTAAATATTTGAACCTGTGGCTGTTGTAAAATGAGAATAACATGACCTATCAGGGTCGGGATTTTCTTTAAGATATTTTTGTAAGATATATTCACGTGCAGATATTTGATCTTGTTTTGGACCTTGAATAGGGAAATATTTTGTAGGCAAATTTTAAAAAAATATACAACATTTTGCAACTCACCATCAAACTCTGGAAAGTAGTCAACAAGATGGGAATACATAATTTTTTCTTCTAATAAATCTTTCTTATTTAAAAATAATATAACCGATGAATGTTGGAACCATGGGTAAGTTATAATAGTTTTAAATAACGCTTTCGATTCTTCCATACGATTCTGTAACACAAAAGGTAACAGTTATATTTAGGTTTATAAGGAAAATTATTAGAATTTACCTCATTTTCTGATTCAAAAAGGATCTGGTCATATTCACTTAAAGCTACTAAAAAGATAATGGAAGTTACATTCTCAAAACAGTGGATCCATTTTCTTCTCTCCGATCTTTGTCCTCCTACATCTACCATTCTGTAATGAGAAAACCAAAATAAAACAATTAAAGGCTGTTGTTAAAATATAACCCAGAATTATAATAAATAATAAGCCATAGCATTTCATAAATATGTATGAACCACGTAAAAGTTTTAAGCTATTACACATTTAAAATATACTATAATCAACATTTTTGTAATAAATTATATAAAAAAAGTATATTTCCAAACGAAATATTAGCGACAAAAAAAATTTTCATTCATTTATACGAAAAAATTATCTGTGTAGGTTGCAAAAAGAAAAAGTGAAAAAAAATAATTTAAAAAAAGTAAAAAGTATAAAAAAGATTTAAAACGAAAAAAGTGAGGCGCTGCAATAGATAATATTATATATATATGTATTAGGGTGCTTCAAAAAAAATTTTTTTTCGCTCTTACCCTCTCAAATGTTTTTATTTAATATAAAAAAAAATCCTCACCAAATATGGGCGTTCCAGCTCAACTCTAAGAGGTCGCTGTTTTTATTTTAGTTTCCCATTGAATTAACATGGGAAAAAATTAATTTATGTTTGGAATTTTATACCTCTGTATCAAAGTAACTTATGGCAATGATCATTGCAGTTTCTTATATAAAATTTAACGCTCTACAAAAAAGGTCTCTTATTATTTTTCGATAAATTGATTTCTTCCAGAATTATTCGAGGTCAAAGTTTGATTAACATTAAATTTTCTGGTACAATTAGCAGACGGGAGGTGAAAGGGGGAAAACTTTGACCTCGAATAACTCTAGAAGAAATCAATTTATCGAAAAATAATAAGAGACCTTTCCTGTAGAGCGTTAAATTTTATATAAGAAACTGCTATGATCGTTGCCATAAGTTACTTTGATACAGAGGTATAAAATTCCAAACATAAATTAATTTTTTCCCATGTTAATTCAATGGGAAACTAAAATAAAAATAGCGACCTCTTAGAGTTGAGCTGAAACGCCCATATTTGGTGAGGATTTTTTTTATATTAAATAAAAACATTTGAGAGGGTAAGAGCGAAAAAAAATTTTTTTTGAAGCACCCACATAAGGAGTGTAGGTGCTATGCTCCACACATCAAAGTCCCACCATGTGACTTTGATAGAAATAATTAAGGTTAATTTTTTGTGTATAAAGGTCTTCTTTTAGAACACAAAAAATACATTAATAGTATTATTTTAGAAAATAATACGAAATTAGCTTCACAGTGACAGAAAATTAACCTTAATTATTTCAAACAGTCGCGAGGTGGTAGCATAGTACTCTCTACAATTCAAGTTCATTAAATATTAAACACCAGGTCCTGTCAAAATGTTGCCTGAGATTTTGTTGGAACCTGTATATAATAATTACCTATAAATTACAATATGGAGTATACTAGATTGTATTGTCATCCAAATCTGAGCTATGTTAAAAGTTTAAAGTCTCTAGCTTATTGGGAAGTTAGTTTAAAATCGATTACAAAATTTGTACAGACAATCTTTAAAAAAGGCGAATTAATAAATAATAATAAAATAAAAAAACGCAATAAAAAGGTTATTTAAAACTGAGGAAACTTTTAAATTAAAATTAAGGTACAAATAAATGAAAGAAATAAAAACAATTAGCGCCCGAAGTATGTAGTGCCCCATTATAATTATGGTTAAGTCAAAAAATAGTATTTATTTTTGTTAATATTTAGTAAAGAAGCCGCGTTTTATAAACTTTAAAATTTTAATTTTTAGAACAAACCCCGACTTTTACGATGACATTAAAAAAATTTGCGCTGACTTTCAAAATTTCCTGACTTTTTTTTTAGTTTACTTGACTTTTTCAGGTTTTTAAGGATATCCAGGCACCCTGTATAAAAAACGATATCGCTCTTTTTTTTTAACACCCTATCGTACATTACATTTTTGCTTAAAACCTTGCACAATTAAGCAATTTTGTCAGGCCACAACGGTCCTAAAAGTTCAAGAAATGGATTAGGTATCCCTTTAAATGTCCTCATCCTAGTAAAACTTTGTATGCATTATTTTTGGGATTCTTTCATTAGCGGAGAAATACCAATAACCCATTTATTATTAAGTATTTATAACATCATACCTAAAAATAATGGAGTCGAGATCAAAAGGGTACTCTATGATGCCCGTCGTGGGCGCCCTCGCTCTGAGGATGTCCTGCTCGGTGGGTAGATAGTCGGGAGCTCGTATTCGGTCCAGGTCGCTAAGATAGCTGCAACAACAAAATGCATGCAACATGAGGCCAAAGACACAGGTGTACTTTACACAAGGACCAGCTCAAATTTTAAGTCAATTTTTCCTTTTGCTATTTATCGGAATAAATAAACCCAGTAAAAATAAGCGGAACTTGGTTTTTATTACAAGGCGGTTTATACTGGTTCCATGTAATCATAAATAAAATTACAAGAAATGAAATTTGTACATAAAATATTTTCCGGTGGATGGAGTTAATAAGATTAATCTGTAGGTATATTTTATTTTAGTTTTTAATTCAAAAGTTTACTTTTTCGATTTTTTATAAAAATCATTACTCATTCCAACCCATGGTCATAACCATAATAATTAGAAATGGCAGATGCTCAAGCACTTTTAAAAGTGTCCATAAATGCTAGAGCATTTTTAAAAGTACCCATACTTCTATAATTACACTGTGCGACAATTTTCGGGTCATCGAAATCAAACCGCACCGCATGACTATTATTGTAATTTTTATATAAACGTTATGATTAAAACTTTGCATATGTTGTATAAACTTGGCACATTAGAGGATAGTCCAGCCATACTCATTGAGTATTACTCAAACTTCTCGAATCAAAGGTATAGAATACACGGCGTTACAGACGACCCCTCTAATACTTTTTTGTAAGAAATGGTGGTGATTTACAGTCGCGGGACGCGAGTAGGCAAACACCCGCAAAAAGTAATTTGATAATTTTTTGTTAAACCGCCGCTTTGAAACAACTTGCTGCATTGAATACATTTATTAAATTTAAAAACGACTCAAATCTGTGAGCAATTTTTAAATAAAAAAAGAAGTTAAAGGATAGAAAGAATTTTGGAAATTAGTAGGTACCGGGTACTTTGAAACGCTGAAATTAAATATTGGACGCAATAGAAGAAAAAGGAACTAGCTTCCAAAAAATGATTTTAGAGATTTTCATTTTTTTAAGGTGAGTGGTAAACAATCTTTTGAAAGGTCCAAATGGGGTGGTATTTTATATACAAAGCTACAAGGTCGGTTAAATAAGAAAAAAACCCATCCGTTCTCAAATAATTTGAAAAAAACTGAAAACCTTTCAAATTCAAAATACCTAGTTATAATTTCGTTATTCTTGTGAATTTTGAAAAAAAAGTAAATTTTACACATTACATATTAACTTAAACATTATTCAACATTTTCATCCAATTTTTTTTTACTAAATTTTGAGTTACCATCACCATCTTTTGTTTTTATAATGGCCGGCGGCCATTCGCCGCCATAACTTATATAAATATTTATCAAACAACATATGTTGTTTGATAAATATTTTGATTTTTTTCTATCTAACCATGGAAAATTTCAATATTTCCATATTGAAAACAAAGATGGTAACTCAAAGTCTAGTAGGCGAAAAAAATGACAAATTGGATGAAAATATAGATAAATGTGTATGTTTACATGTGAAAATTCCCAGGAATAAGTTATAAGGATTTTTGGTTTTGACAATATCTATAAGAATACTTGGTGCACCCTGTTCCCAGATAGCACAAAGAAGTACTAAAAACGTCCTGAGTATATCTTGTATCAGACATTAGTAAGTTCCGAGTACGTCCGAATCAGGTCCTGAACCTTCCCCAGGACGTTCCAGGGACATCCGATGTTACCAAATCGTCGGTCCCCAGAACGTCCTAAGTAAGACATCCTCTGGCCATCCTGAAATGCTTTATTGGGGGCTAATGGACAAGCTTTACAGAATTGAAGAGTGGTATTCCCAAAGGCCCAGACAGCAATATGACGCCTTAATTAAGTCTTATTTTATTAATTTGTTAAATGGATTTTATTAAAATCATTTTAATAATTTGCTCGTATTCGCTTATTTTAGGAATTGCGATTACTTTGTCTCACTTTTGTTTAAATTTAAGCGTGCTCTTCACCGGCACCGATAGACGGCCTGTTTTCCTCTTTTGGAGCTCGTCAGTATCGGGTAGCCGTTTACCTAGGTCTAAGACCGTTTGGTATGAAGCACGCTCTAAATTTTACTTCGCCGCTTCTTATATCAAACACAAACAGTTACAGCGGTGAGAAGAAAGAATCGCATTAAAATGTCATAAATGTGACGTTTCCATTTTGACGTCTTAAAGAGTTAATAATACGTCCTTGGGACGTACCCAGTATATCCGCTATAATTTTCCCAAATAAGTAAGAAACTGGACGTACCCAAAACTTCCGATATAGGTCTAGGACGTTCGGACCTATGTGGGACCCGAAATGGACGTCCTGGGTACCTCTTGTGCTATCTGGGTTAGGGCTTTAACATTTCCGGAAAAATTGAGCAGGCGAAAAAATTGAATTGCACTTTTTTCATTTTTTCAAGGGTAATACGAACAAAATGAAAAAGTCAATTTCTCTGAAAATTTACAAAGTTTTATGGATGATTTCCGTACACTGATATCGGGAAAAAGTGAATTTTAGAAGCTGATTATAATCGTAATATTTTGATAATAATAATTATTTTATTTTAATTCGTAGTAAAAATATTCTACGGGACCGCAAAAAAATCATGATGGTGCTGTATTAAAAAAACCATGCATGGTGCTGTACATACAAACTTTCGTTTTATTTGGCACTTCAATTTATAAAATTATAATTTTGTAATTTAACTTTATAACTCATTCATTATTTTGTGATTGGATATTTTAAATGGACTCCTTTTTGCAAAAAGACCCAATATTTAACGATAATGTTTATTTTGTTAAATCAATTCAATTCAATATTTTGTTTTATTTTTTTTTGTAATAAAGGATATTTGCTACTTTTTTCAAATGTGTATTTTTTCCAAAATAAAATTAAATTTTTCCCAAAAGACAATTTTTCCAAGACCTAGGAAAAAACGAAAAAAAAGTTTTTTATGGGTAAAAGGATGGAAAACATTTTTCCAAGAACGTATCAAAAAGTTAAAATCTGTCAATAGTACAGTGGCCGTCACGGAATTTTGAACGACATAACTTGGTTGTCAATGTATACATCTGTAAATAGCAAAGATATAATATTGAGCATGTTTGCTTTCGCTGTCAAAATTACAATACTAGTGATAACCGAAAGTAAGGTTAGTTGTCCATAAAGAAAGTTTAGATTTTGATGTCAACGGGATGATAGTCGTTCAAAATTCCGTGTCGGCCACTGTACCTAACTACATTTTAAAAATAATTTTAATGTTTTGACAAAAATCTGTCAACCATGTTAATAAAGATGTCTTGTTTATTTTGTTTCTAACAACAGTTATATAACGTGTGATATTTTTGCTTGGTAAATAAGCAATATTTTTTTTTTTTTTTACTTTTGATTACTTAGTGGAAGGGGTAAGAAGTAAAAGGGTACAAGTGCAAAAAGAGTTATTAACTAAAGTTTCTGCTATGTACAAAAATCTGAATCAATGAACATGCAGAAGTCGTACAATTTGACGTAATGAGAAAATTAAACAAAAATTTTTTTATGCTTAAAATTTTTCAGCTTTTCTAAAAAAAATTGTAGTAAATTCAAACCATGTTATCAACACCTTTGTAACTCTATTTTATGTTAATTTGTAAGTTGTAGGTAAATGGTTTTTTGTTGTTAAGATATCTTATTAAATTAATTAATATTATTAGTACAGTCAATCTGTCAAAAAATCAGGGGGTAAAAAGATTCCGAACCGAGTTTTTTTAATCCTATACAGGGTGTCCCAAAAGTCAACGATATCCTTTGAAGGACTAATAGGTTAGCTGAGGACTAATCAGAATATTAAAACATGACCTTCGTAAAAAATCATTAGTTTTTAAGATATTGGCATTTTTATGAATTTTGTGAAACTTAACACATAAAATCAGTTTTTTGAGTGTCACAACTACAACATTATATATTCTTAGATTATATTTTATTTTGTGTAACCCTAAATAGGACTCCTATTAATTACAATTCAAAATTAAATTAATAGTAGATTTTGTAGCTGTGGCACTCAAAAAACTGATCTAAGGTGTCAAGTTTTACAAAATTCATAAAAGTGACTATATCTCAAAAACTAACGATTTTTTACCAAGGTCATATTTTGATTTTCTGCTTAGTCATGAGTTGGTCTATCAGTCCTCCAAAGGATATCGCAGTATATAGAGGGTTTCACATTTGTGGTCCATTAGAAGTTTCTGGGGAACGAAAAACGATATCGATTTAAAATTTTAAAATCGTTTATAATAAATTTAAGTCCATTTTTCTAAAATATTTTGAACAAAATGCCACTTCCGGTTTAACCGGAAGTGAGATCAACATTGTTATTTTAAATTAAACACCCCCATATATTTTTACATTTTTAAATTCAACATTACATTCTGAGTAAAATTACTATACCATGTCCTATACCTAAAGAGAAAATTTAGTCAACAAATTGTTTATAACAACCTGAAAAATTGACGCTATTAAATTTTAAACAATGACAAATTACGTGGTAACCATAGATACCGTCACAGGTTCGGAATTTTTTCGATATCAAAATAAAGATTGACTGTATTATAAACATAATAAATAAACATTAACATTTAAGATGTTAATATATATCTATGGTTAAAAAATACTACATGAAGACAATAACTTAAGTAGGTAGTTATTATTAGAACACAGTATATTATAAATTTTCCAAATTTCCTTAGCAACTCAGTAGTGCAATAAAACACTGTTAAAGGTAAAATTTAACAATAACAAACAAAGGCTTTGTTGTCTATAATTTAATTAATGTAGAATTGAGGTTAATTTAAAAGCACATACCAACAAAGAATTGATTTTCGTATGCATGTAAATTTATATTATGTAAATAATTAAAAGTTTGCAATAGGTAACTAATTTCAGTAAATTTAAATTCAATTTGCCTGAAAACCTCTTTTGTGTATGTGTCTCAAGTATGAACCTTACACGTGAGTACTAACGCATATCAGGCCAACTCAATACTTTGAACGATATATAGGCATAAGTTAAACATTTATATACCTTGATTAAAAATGTATAGCTCCAATTTAAAATAATTTAAAATTACATACATATGTATAAGCTGAGTTCTGCATGATATAACCAATAGATAAGGAAGTTTTGGAATGACAGAAAATTTGTAAATTAATTTTAAATGGAATAAGGTGAGTTTTAGAATATTATGAACTTTTCAGAGTATAGGGGGATATATTTTAATCGTATAGACACCACTAACCCATTTTTATTAAAAAGTGGATAAGCCGAGTTTTGGAATGGACCTCCTCATTTTATGACAGCAAATATGATTTTTACCAAACTACATCAATTGTCTAACCATTATTTAAAACTACCACATTAAATTTTTTTAATACAGTGGGGTCTTTAAAAGCACAGTCAGGGCCATATTACCCATTAGGCAGGCAAGGCAATTGCCTTAGGCGCCACGTAGAAATAGGCGCCTGGTCCCCAAACAACTTAAAAAAAAATAAAAATTGTTACCAAAATGTTTATTTTTTCCAAAAATAAAACAAATAAACAATATACAATTGTAATAACAGAATATTATTTACTGTTTTTATTATTTTATACAAATTTAGCTTCCTTTGTAATAACGAGCTGTAAAGCCGACAAAAAAGCGTGCCGCAAATTCCCTGTTTTTATGCCAAATACATAAATGTATTTCAGATAAAATTAATCAGGTGTTATATCATTATGCTTGATTACGAGGGCACTACGTTTTGAAGTAGAATAAGATATTTTATTATTAACTGTATAATTAACAAATAATAATAAATCTTAACGTTAAACTGCAAACAAAAACATAAAAGATAATTTAATTTGTAAACTTTACCCTGTATAAACATATCTTTAGCACTCTTTAAACTATTTCAAAACCCCCGTATTCCTCTTGCATCGGGTACCCGCTGTGATGTGCTGCTCACCCCAGCGGGTACGCGATACTAGAGGAAACTGCTGCCGGAAGGACTTGGGTGTTTTCGCGTTTATTCAAGAGTGGCACTTCTATATGTTGTGTGTTTGGTGATAGCAGTCTGTGTTCGATAGTTAAGGTTGATTTAGCCTGGCTTTTAAATTAAATTACGTTACACAAAATGCTGGCTAAATCCACATTTAAATAGTGTTAATTTTTCTGTTTGTTTTCTGAAATTTTAATATTAAACTAATTACAATAAACCAGCAGTACATCTAACATACAAATACAGAAAATTAAAGTTGATTTAATTTTTTTTAAATACTTACTAATGACATCTTGCAGAAAAACGCACTTATAAGTCCTAACACTTTTTATTTACATTATATTTGTTATGTTTGTATGTTATTTATGTTTTTTATGTATTTTTTTAATGATAGAAAGTATTCTAATTCATACGGAATAATTAGGTTATAATGCTCGGGCGCCCTTAAGCTAACAGTTTGGGGTGGCTCTAATAAGCTTTTTTAAAATTTGCCCCGGGCCCCGTAAGTATAGTATCTAGTTATAACCATAGAGGAGCCAAATTTTTAAGTGCCTAAGGCGCTCAATTGCCTTAAGCCGGCTCTGAGCACAGTTATTTTTATTTAAATCACTGATTTAAATTGCGATTTAATTCACGATTTAAATAAAAAACTTATATAAATTAAATAATTTTGTAAAGAACAGATGAAATACTATACAAATACCTTTCCAATAAAATCATTTTTTATATTGTTAAAACTTTTTTTATTCTATTAATTTTGTTATTGGATGTCTTTTTGTTAGTTTAATTTTATTTTGTTCTAAGAGAAGTTCGTTTGGTTAATAATTTTACCATATATTGATAATTAAAATATATATATATATATACCTATATTAAATAATTTATTTATTTTTTATTTAAATTTTAAAAAATACACGATTAAAATATACCATACAGTATGGTCCATAGTTATTTAGTAAGAAGTTGACTAATAAAATGTCAATATACAAAAAAGTTAGGTGGATTTTTGTTCATATTGTGGCACTTAACCTGTTAATACAAAAAAGTTAATAAAGATTTATAGGGGATTTCTTGTTTTAACAAAAAAATCCGATTTAAATAAAAACTCTGTTTAAAAATGACCACAGTGAATTTAATTTAACTTGGTTTGTTGATGGCGGCCATGAATAATACTCACTATTTGGCTGAATCTGTAAGTTGGTACTCCCTTCTTCGGTCGTAACATTCCTTTATACCGTCATCATTCCAGAGGTCCTTTATCGCCTCAACGTATTGAGCCTCGAACGTTGTCACCGTTTCATAGTCAATACTTTTTATTAGCTCTGCTTTTTCCTAAAGAAGGCAAGAAACGATAAGTATAAAATAACACTACATATTTAATATTTTGGAAGTAGTTAGTAGTTATATACCTGGCAGGAAGAATGACAATACAGGATCTTCAGCATTTCCATTCCCTTTATCATACTCTGCATCGCCATGAAAATGTTTTGGTAGACCAGTTTAATGAAGCCCTTTTTGTCTTCGTCGGAATATCCGGCTCCATGGATAATCCGCATCTGCTTGATGAATGTGGACTTCCCAGATTCACCAGTGCCTGTAAAAATATTCACCCCAATAAGTAAACAAAAGTAGGAAGTAGGTATAGTTTAAATAAATATAAGATATCATTATCCATCTGTATAAAAGGTTGAAATGACCAAGGCTGGCATATATCAGTGATAAATATCATGATATTTATGCGACGATATTTATCCTGATACATATCAATATTTTTGTTCTAAAATTCTATTCATCAGTAAGTATAAATGAGGAGCATCCGTGCAAAACCGGCTATATCCACTTTAATAAAATGTTGGGAAAATGGCAAAAACTCTCGGTTTCCTGGCCTTTACAGATAAAAGAAAAAGCAAACTTGAGTTTTGTGGGCTTTGTGGTACTTGATTTATAAGACATACTTTCGTTTTCAAAAATAAAAAAAAACAAAAACTGTTTAAAATGGATTTAGCCGGTTTTGCACGGATGCTCCTCAAATGTATTGCGCCGCTAGCGCTGCGCCGGCAACAGCGTATTATGCTGCTTACGACAGGGTTCGCCTGATTTAAATGATTTGATTAAAATCACGATTTAAATCAGTTTTAAACAAAGTTTCTAAAATTTAAAAAAAAAACAATAACTTGACACTATTTAAATAAATTCATATGCATATAAAAACTGCTTATTTTGTTAAATAACAGTGGTTTATTTGTTGATTAAGTAGTACCAATATAATATTATTATAGTCAAGTTATTTTTAGTATTTTTTTAATAGCACACTTTATTAAAAAATGCTTATAATTTAAAAAAAAAATCAAAAAAATCATTTCTTGTTGATTTTTTGGATTGTTTTAATAAAAATCGTCGTTTTTTTTTAAATCATGATTTTTTTGAAACCTGGTTTACGAATTTATTCTTTGCCTGAACGGATCAATATATATATATATATATATTGATCCGTTCAGGCAAAGAATAAATTAACAGGTTTCTCGGAAAGACAGGGAATCACCGCATCGTAAACCAGGTTTCAAAAAAATCATGATTTAAAAAAAAACGACGTATATAATAAATAAATAAATAAATAAAATTTTTGTTGGATAAAACAAACAGCAAAATATATATATTTTGCTGTTTGTTTTATCCAACAAAAATTTTATTTATTTTATTTTAATTAACAAGACCAGTAATTCTGGGAACCTACATTTTACATTTCTATAGGTACACACTAGTACTAGAGATGTAAAAAACGGTTTTTTCAGATGTGAAAAAAAACACGAAAAAACTAGAAAAAACGGTTTTTTTTTCAAATCTGCTGCAATAAAGCATATTCTGTCAATAAATAACATAAATCTTAAAAAATTGAGTAATTTTTCAAAATGAAATTTGATAATATAGTGAAATGTAGAATATATTACATTTTTCGTTATTGAAAATTTTGACCGAGACTAAAAAATCTCATTTCTAATTATTTGGTAGTTTCCACATAAGAAACCAATAGCAATGTAAAACTTCTACACTAATAGAAAAAATTCAAGGATAATTTTTTTTTTGTGATTTTTCGGATAGCTGTATCTTCGTTAAAAATGGTCGTATTGGAGCCGTAAAAAAAGCAATTTGAAGCTTGAAGTTTTTAGTTTGAGATTTTTAGATAGAAAACGTGCAACGCTCAATCCTAACGAATACCGTAATAAAAAAATGTAAATTTTTTTGGCTTTCTTTTTTGGTCCACGGACTTAACCCCCAATGAATAAATGTTCTACTAGAAATTCTAGTCTAGAATTAGCTGTTGTTTTTTTGAAAAAAATAATTCCATACTCTACCTACATGAATTTGAAAAATCATGAAAAAAGTGATTTTGGTAGCTTTTGAAAAATCAAGCGCTGAATCAAAAATATTATAAGTAGTTACGTTTTTTCAATTCAGTGGTGGTGGCGCGTGAAAAGCGCGAGACTGTATTTACATTTACTAAATATCATTTAGTGGCTAATTTTAGTCCACGAACTGGATTGGAAACATAAAAAATTAGGCAAATGGGACTAATCTTGAAAAATGAAGAAAAAAAACATTAAAAAAACAATGAAAAAAAACCTGAAAAAAAACAAAAAAAAAGGACCCTTTTTTTTCAAGTCGCATCTAGTACTAAAAAAACTTGTTAATGTGATAGCAACTTTCATTGAATAGAATAGAATTGCTTATAAAATTTTAAAATTATATTAAATTAAGTAACTTTGAATTTTAAACATATACATACATATGTATAAAGGGGCATCCATTAATTACTTGAGAAAAAAATGGGGGTCATTGAAAATCTCACGTCAACTTTAAAGAATATGTAATATAATTTAATTTTGGGGTTTATCATGTTGTACGCAATGAAAGTTTCATGGCTAGAATCTCACATAAGCAATAGGGGTCTACCACATCTCACCAAGGAGGGGGGTCCAAATTATCAGAAAAAAACCTCACGTAATTAATGGATGTCCCCATATCTTTAATTCTCTAAGCAGAAAATAGTTACAATAAAAAAAAGAAATAAATATACAAATTTTGATATATATATAAATTAACAAAAAAAATATATAATAAAACTTATTTGTGGGATGAGTCATTTATATTATTGATATATATATCAATAATATAAATGACTCATCCCACAAATAAGTTTTATTATATATTTTTTTTGTTAATTTATTCAAAATTATATTTTATATGTAGTAGGTTTTGTTTAATATTTAGTTTATTTTGCCCTAAATAATATACCTAAATTTTCTAATTTAGTAAAAATAAATTATTTTTATTATTCCCAAGAAAATTTCTAAAACTTCGTAATTATACCACACTGAAAATATTTTGTATGTCTACTATTATAGTATAAAACTAGTATAGTATAATCGAGGGGTCACCCACACCTGGGAATCCCTGGACATTTTAGAGGGGGAATACCATAGGAATACAATAAAATATAATGGGAATACATGGGAATCCCTGGGCGTTTTCCCTTTGGGTGGTTGACCCCTCGAGTATAATTCTGTGTACTGTAAGTAAAAGAAAGTCTTAATACGGAAAAAATATATCTAATACTGTGTACGGTTTTGGATATGTAAAATTTGAGCCTAAACATTTTAAACATATATTTTATACAGGGTTATTTATTAATATTGCAAACAAATCAATCATGATGAGATTTGCTACATAAAAATAAGGAATAAACTATTTCCGATTTCTAATTTCGGGAAACGTATTGTTTGTATTGCATTTTTTTTTAATTTAACTAAAAACCTGATTTTTTTAAACTGTGTCAATTTTTAAAATTATTGGTCGCTATTATTTCTTAGCAGAAATATGATACGCCACTGCTTTTAATTTGTTTTGTTATTTATTTCAGATTAAACAATTAAACATAAAACTCTGTTTTTACATCTCCCTTCGATTTCCAAAAAAACATTGTTTTTCTTTACATATCTCGAAGTGTAGAAATATTTAAAAATGTTTAATATATGATTTTTTTTTAATTGCAACACCCTCAATAGTAATCTTTTTCTGAATTGTATATACCACAGACCTACAAACATAGGTCTGTGGTATATACCTATTATAGGTAACCTATACCTAATATTTCGTGAGTAAATTATTGTAAACCTTTTTGTTTTTAGAATTCGAGTTTAGCTTTTACTTACAGCCTAATAAACTATTGTTATAACCATATTCCACGATACTGGGAATTTTTTGTCCCGTCCGTCACAATTAAAAATTGTGAGTAAAAAACTACACGTTATAAAATTTATTTTAAAATATTGTTTAGTATGCTTGTAATACGCTTATAAGCACAATAAAAATAATATTATAAAATATTAATTTAATAACTTGTGGTTTTTACTCACAATTTTTAATTGTGATGGGCGGGACAAAAATTACCGAGTAACGTAGAATGCCCGAATTGTAACTAAGCAACTGAACTCGAATTGTATAACACATTGTAACAAGTCAATAATGAAAACCTTAAAAACAAAAAAAAATGGCATTGAATCAAACAAAACATATAATAATATTATACGAATTAAATAGTATTTCAATAAAATTATAGGATAAATGTACAAGAGAGACTTCTGTAAATACATGTACATAAATTGGATTACCTACGTACTACTCAAGTTTATTAAATTAAATTAACTCTTAAAAGTTTCGTTTTTTTGAATAACATAATCTCTGCATGCATACATTAATATGACATTACTATATTAAATTTACGTAAGTACCTACATATGTTGGTATGCATACGATATTATCCATGCTTTTTTGCAACCATAATGTATTACATATTTGCGATTATATTACATAATATACTAATAATAACAACACTGGTCAAGACGTAAAAATTTTTGAGCATATAAACTACTACTAATACAAAGACATACAAAGACATACAAATTCTCGTTCACTAGTTCACTAGTTCACTAAATAAAAGTTACAATAACTGTGTATATATATTATTATTATTATTATAATTATTATAATTATATATTATTATATTATAATAATTATTTAATTAATCATTTCGACTTTAAAAATAACATAGCTCTTGCAATGATGTGAAGCATCCAATAAATTTTTCTTATATTTGAAGTAATGCAGTTCAATTTTTCTTAAAAGAAGGAAGTTGTTTTTATTTTACGTCCTAAACCCACGAACCTTACTTCAAATAAAACAGCTATTATTATTAAATTATTAAGGTCAAATTGCTAATATTTTAAAAATTGGTAATGGTTGTTAAGATTAGGAAAAAAATATTTTTTTTAAATTATAGAATGCTTAAAAAAGGTTTTTTGTATTGAAAAAAAGCAGTTAACTGCTTTTAAAAAGAGGACGACATAGGTTCTTAAGAAAAAGGCATTTTCACACTAAATATTTATTAGATTTGCTAAAAAATTGTCTTGGCATCGTATAAATTTTGAAATGGGAAATATAAAATAGTTAAGGGTTAAATAAATAAACAACCTTTTAAAAGTTGTTTTGTAACCAATGATTTAAACAAGTTTTCCCAAATTTATTTTGATCCCACTA